GGAATCAAAGGGCTAGTAGGATTTCTCTCGTGGTGGTGGGCGCTAGTTACCCGGTTGACCAACTGTTATGTCCCACATGTGTAATTAGGCCTAGTGATAGTTTGTTACTTGTAAGGAGTTAGCTAGTTGGCTTTTCCGGGCTGGTTGTCGCCAGTCCAGTGGTTCAATCCACATTGGTGTATGGGTTGTGATATTAGTTCTTGCCAATACACTAAAAAGTCCACATGAAGTCGTTCATGTCCAAAGCGGGAGCGCTAGAAGCAATTCCTTCACCCAACTCGTCCTTCCCATGCCAGCAAGCGCTCTCCATACAGAATGTTGGCGGGGTGGTTGTTTCAAAAGCCTCTATGTTTGAGCAGGAACCTGGCAATGAGGAAAACTTTCCTTCCACGCGAGCAAGAGACCATGGCGAGATAAACCGTGCGCTTGAGAAAACACACAAAGAGAAGCGGCACGACTATGGGGATGTTCCAGTGCTTCAGGCTGAGATAGAGGAGGAACTGAAGAATGCGAGACAGTTAGAGCATGACGGGTTCTACGGGAAGGCTCTGAAAACATGCCAAGGGCTTCTGGTGAAGGACCCCCAGTTGGGAGACTTGACTATGATTGAGAGAATACGGAACCTCGAGGTAGCTAAATAGAAGGAGTGCCCATATGTACACGTCAAACTGAATATTGCGACGGCCAACAGCGAAAGGTGGAATTAGTCAAAGAAAACAACGGATGGTATCCAAACGCGAAGACGGGGTTCCATGAGCTACCAGGTATTCTACATAGTATTTATTTTGTCGCCTTTGTAGTCGCTACGTCAACTAATTGCCCTCGGGACATTTCTGCAGGCGGTTACAAGTTACCCTCGGCATTGTACGAACGCCTGTTTTCACATCAACGAGATGGTGTTAAATGGATGTGGAAGCTTTATGGGAACGAGCAGATGGGTGGTACGTTCAAAGTAGTTGAAAGCGAATTTGGCTATATCTTGATTATTAAGAGGTATCCCAAAGGTATACTCGGTGACGACATGGGAATGGGGAAAACAATCCAGGTCATCTCGTTCCTAGTTGGATTATTTGCGTCAGGAATGGCTCGCCATATTTTGATCGCAATGTAAGTTTCATTTTGATCTTCTGGGATACGTCTTCTCGTATTATGATACTTATCTCTGGTGGTTAGGCCCTTGGGACTCTAGAGACATGGAAAACGGAGTTCCGCAAATGGTCAGTGGAATTTCACATTTCCCAATGGACATCATGCGCATGTTGGAAGCTCACATCTACCTTCGTTGGTTATCAATAGGTTTCCAACCATGCGAGGTAAGACAAAACGAGTCTGTTTCTGATATAAACATAATGTCAACATCTGATTGGATTACAAAGTGAAAGTATATCACGGATCACTGAGCACGATTGAGAAAGACTTGCGTGTTGTTTTAGACAAGGGTGGAGTTCTCTTAACAACATATGGTAAACTGTAATCAGAAGTCAGATACCCTTGGTCTTGTCCTTCTCACTGTGTGATGCGTGCACCCTTAGATAAAATTCGTTTGAATTCCGGAAAGTTGTGTGGCGGGCCACAGCACGCATGGGACTATATTATCTTAGGTAAGGATATAGACTTGTTTATAACTGCAGCTCTCTAACAGATCGATATTTAAGATGAAGGGCACTACATCAAGAATCAAAGCTCACAGAAGGCTAAAGCCGTGCGTCAAATTCCCGCAAAGCACAGACTCTTGCTTTCTGGTAAGCTTCAGGAGGCACGTTTCCCTTCGAAGGGTTGTTTGCTGAACTAGTCCGTATGGTACATGCTACAAAGGGACCCCGATTCAGAATAATATGGAAGAGCTGTGTAAGCATTGAACTGGATGTCATTAATTCTTATGCTCGCATAGTTATTCGGAATTGTATCGGTACCTAAATAACAGGGTCCCTATTTGACTACGTTTGCAATGGAAACCTACTTTCGAGCAAGCGCAATTTTATGAAGCATTTTGGCAATCATATCAAAAAAGTACGTTGAATAGAAAATTCTATATTTCATTCCGCTATAACATTTCGGTTGGACTTCTAGGGCGAAGCACGCGACGCAACCCCCGAGGAAAAGCAGGTGGCGAACCAAATTGCCGAAGCCCTTCGCAATCTTATTGCACCCTACTTCATCCGCCGCGAAAAGTCGCTGCTGCACCATCAAATCGCGCAACCGGAGAACACAGCCGTTGAAACGCCTGGATTGGCACCCGATGTTAAAGTATTGGGAGAGAAAAAGGAATTAGCAGTCTGGGTGGCAATGACGGAGGTGCAGATCGCATTGTACCAGGCCTTCCTGACTAACCTTAACATGTACGAGGTAATTGTTGATAAGGAGACACATTGTTATTCATTAATGATACTGAACATGAAACGGCACAGATTTTGAATCGCTCACGATCGCCACTTAGTGCTCTTGGAGTGCTGAAGAAGATCTGCGATCATCCCGCTTTGATGTCGCATTCTTTGCAAGACTGCGAAGCTTTGAACCTAGACGCAATGTAAAATAATGGTTATCTTTTTGTATAAGGCCGCTTTTGTAATACTCTATCTTCATGATATCAGCGCGGCTCCCGAAAGCGACTTTCGAGAACTCTTGGCCCAAAGTGCCAAATTGCGCGTCACCGTTGAACTCGTGGAACATCTTCGACAAGAGGGACACCGTATGTTGCTAGTAGCTTCCAGTAGAAGAATGCTAGACATTGTGGAGAACTGCATCGCTGCTTTGGTTCGTGTTACCAAGCCTTTAAAATCCGATCAAAGATTCGGACTGAAAGGATCTTCATGACAGGGCATCACACATACGAGGATTGATGGAACCATTACAGACCGCAAGGAGCGACAACGTCGGATTAATACCTTTAATAGAGATCCGAATTACAGTTGCTTTCTCCTTACGACACAGGTCGCTATTGGCATCACGTTGACTGGTGAGTATCGACCATTTCCGCGAGGGGGGGGGGGGGGCACAAGGCTCATAAATCCGTAAGCTAACGTCGCAATTGCGGTTCGAAAGGGGCGGATAGAGTTATCATGTGTGAGTGTTGTTCAGATACTACTCATGACACCACGGAACATCGTCCTTATGCTTATCATACTGCGTTCACTCAGATGATCCCTCTTGGAATCCCAAACGCGTACGTGATCGGTATATAATCATCTTGCTTCAAGCCGCTGCATTGACGGACTCTCACAACGATCACTAGGATGCACAAGCTGTAGATCGGGCTTATCGTGTTGGCCAAGATAAGGATGTGATTGTTTATCGGATTTTGACGTGTGGAACGATGGAGGAGAAGGTCTATCGTAATCAAGTGCGTACATTTGGCGTTGTGTGCTTGTATTGCGCGCCAACCATCTATGGCCCTAGGTGCGGAAGGACTATCTGGCAAAGATCGCGATGGAAAAGGGAAGCCAAACACGGTCTGTGGCTGCTAGGGACCTCCTCGGGCTTCTAATAGCGAGAGACTAACAACATCTCTTTTCATAGATATTTCACCCAATCAGAACTGAAGGACTTGTTCACATTGGACGATCCAACGTTTTCGCAAACGCAGAGATATCTGTCTCGTCGACATCCAGTCGCCATGGGAGGCACTGACGAGTTTGAACATCACGTGGCACGGATCGAGCAGTTTGGTACATTGCGACTCTCCACGACGTAAGCAGACCACAAGTAACTCACTTGAACTCTGCAGATGCTGTCCGAGGTACCAGCCGACATGACCAATTATATACAATGAGCGAAGAACTGCAGGATGGGGAGCATCTTGGTGGCGCAAAACAAATGGTGCGGGACGATCGACGGCAGGCCATGCTGTCTTAGATGTACAAATCTTATGTTCTTTGCAGGTAGAGGAAGCCTTGAGGCAATTTGAAGATGAGCATGTTGTGTCAGACCGATATCCAAGCACCCCTGGCAGAGGTATGGATGCCAATGTGCCAGAGACGGGCAAGATTTGTTGATATCCCAGATGCTTTTTACCCACAGCGATACGGCTACGACCAAATGTAAATAATGAAAGTGATATGGCGCTCGGTTCACGAACTTCGCCACGCGTACAAGGGAGAGGAAATCGGCAGTCTCCACAAAGAATACCGTTTGCTGAAGCCACCAATATGCGTATGGTGAAAGGCGATGGAGCCTGTGGGGATATGATCGAGAATGCACTTGATTCTCCTTCCCCGTTAACACGCAGGGGTCGGAGGCGCATACTGGAAGACGACGAAGATGAGGAGGGATCCAGCACCGGTGGTGCGGTCGAAGGAATCGACATGCTTTCGACACCTGAGCCAACGTCCCTGTCCCACGAGACGCACTTTGATGGGGACTCGAAAGAGCTAGATGCACCGGGGACATCATTAGCAATGGGTCGCGACGAAGATGAGCAAGGCTGCAGCCTAGAGGACGAACCTGCCGTCAGTGGCGTATTTCCAACAACTGATAGCGCCGTTGGTGGCCGTCTTGAGCAAGGTGGCCTTGCGGACATCGAAGTCACCGAATCACCTTCCCCGACTTTCCGGCGTATACGACGACGGCAAATCATTGTAGAAGAGGATGAGGAGGATGATACAGAGACGGGAAATCGGGGTGGTACAATGGATGCAGATCTCATTGACAGTCTGCAGACCGCCATGGAAAACCTCGACATTCGTCAATCCCGTTCACACACAGATGAAGGCAACGCGTTTGAGCCAGCAGTTCATGTGCAAAGCTCAAGAAACGATGTTAAATTCGAAAAGGAGGACTTTGAAGCTAGTCATGGGCGCTTTTTTAGCGCAGTGGAGGACGAAAAGGATATGATATCTGAAGTGGCCGAAACATTGGCCTTTCAAAATGTCGAGGACGTTCATGGGGACGATGACAGGGTATTGTTAAATGACGGCGAATATGATGATAATATGGATTCCCAACTACATTCTGGGAGCTCGAACGTTAGCGCTGCCACGAATGCTGAAGAGGATTGGGGAACGAATGCGCCATCATGCGAGTCTTACACAGAAGTCCAAAATCCTATACCTCACAATTCAGATGGAAAAGCGATCAAATTCAGCGGTATGTAGCAAGGGTAGTATGGGAGTTGACAGTTCAGGAAACTCATATGTATTCCAGTTTGTCCAAATAGCCTGCATACCTCGTCGCTTTTCATCATTCGCAACTGTCGATGCCTACGTACTGACGACGAAATGGACGAATACGATGAACTCCTTTTCGCGTATCAACGACATATGAAAAAGCGCCAATATGATGAAGCGCTTCAGGCTATGAAGAATGCTTTGGAAATATGTGATGACGACGCTCGATGTTTCTGGGCAGTTTTAGTTTTGGGCTCGATGATATTTACTTAGACACTTAGCCTGTGACTTTTGGTTACCATGTAGAAATTTTCATTGAATGATAGATCATTCTCAACCACATCCACCTAACCCTCATCATAGATCGCTCCGCTACATTAAGCGAGAATCGCGACCATCCTCGTCATGCATGTGCTCAACCCACTTGGTATCATCCGTATTTTAAACCAGCACAAAATCCAACGATAAATGCACTAGCAAACGGTAGATCGGCTGTCAACCATCGCAGCACACTCTTGGACATCATGGTGACTCGGCTAGGCGGTACGTGGCCGTGCTCATCAGCACCCGCAACTTTGTTGAAGTACTTTTGACCTTTGGACCATTGAACAGTTATAAAACCCGCGTGGACAAGAAGCTACGGGCGAGTGGTTGGTATGATTTCAAACATGTTTCGCGAATGCCGTGAGCTTACCTGTAAGAGAACGAATCCAGCGCCAACCGCAAACGCCACGAGCTTGCTAACCTTTTTGGTAAAGTATCCTGTACATATTCCCAATGCGCCCCCAAATGTCATGAGCTCAGGATTTGAGAACCACCTTGCTGGGGGAGACGGAACTGTGTCATCCGCGTCCACTACTACTTCCTTTTGAGATGGATATGCTGAGAAAGGTTTTAATTCCTACTATGTCAGAAAATGTCGATGTCCGCATGGTGTGAGGTATACATACCCTTTGTTGGAGGAGATGGCGCTACCCAAACCGAAGCGGCAACGACTGCGCTGGTGCCTCCCAGAGCGGACAAAATCGCTGCCGTGAGAGATCTCGGTTTCTGACTCCGTCCTTCCTTTTGATCTTTGTGCGTTTCATGTCGCTGATTCTTCATTGGACATCGGGGCGCAACAAGGAGGTCAGGTGCAGAAAAGTGTATCGTTGCCCCTCTTCCGTGCAACGATCGTGAGCTTGAGAACATCAGCTGCGTCGTTGTCGCGCATGCTGCCCAGTGAGTTGACAACGTTTTCTGCCCGCCGATTGCAGTTAGACGCTTCCCGGCTGACGCAACCAGATTGCTTGAAGTACACGTCCGTATCAAACTGCGGCCCATATGGGGAGCAGCAATGGGAAAAAGGTTCATTTTGACAAAGCACCAGATAGATTTGCGTCCTTGCGTGAACGACTTCACTGTCGGCTCTGTCTATTTCAGGTGATGTTCCTGCTGGCGGAAACGCTCATTTGCTGCAACGTAAGAAAGACGAGAAATGGGCGAAGGTTGACTTGGCCGGTGACGTCATGATCTACCATTCTGGCGTCGAGTCGTTCCTCATCCTTTCACCTCTTCCACGGGCATATTGACCTGTCCTTTTATCTTCCCGCCGGTAATTGCCTCTTGGACGACATGAGCCCAGTACATGGCACATCGGCCACATTACGCTGTCACGGTTTCAACGACGTGGTGGTCCCCAGGTGCGGAATGACAGCACGTCAACGGTCTGTTTGGAATCTGACTGACGAGGTAATAATTGTATTAAAGTCCGCAAAGCTCCCAAGGACCGCACTACTCTCATTGCCGATGCATTTTGTCTTGCCAGATTGAACATGCGTTCGTCCTCAGCGTCGCCCATGGTTGACACCACGTGATTGTAGCCACAAATATTGGTCCTCGGCTGGTACTGCTACAACCTGCATGACCTCAGCAATGTAATGTGAGTGGATTCCATCAGCGTTCCCCCATCGCCTTGATAGATCCTTTGAAAGGATGAAGCTTCCGGCAAGTGCAAATCAAGGGTTCAAACAGGAGCCACCAGTACTGCAAAACCAGTATGAAGATGACCCAGCCCTACAAGGGATCTTGTTTCATTATCTTCCGCATTCCGACTTTGAAGCTGTCACCGGTGATCTGAAGAATTTGGGTCAACGTGCAATTACAGATATTCTGGCGCTCGGGGACAATGCTGAACAGCATCATCCCACTCTAACGCAGTATGATCATTGGTGCAGGCGGATAGATAAGTTAGAAACCTCAGAAGGATGGCGGGCTTTGAAAGGGGTTGCCGCGGAGGAAGGTTTGATTGCCATCGGATACGAGCGTAAGCTACGCCAGTTCAGCAGGGTTTACCAGTTTGCAAAGTTGTACGTCGCTGGGCCCAGCATGGCAATGTATACTTGTCCCTTGGCCATGACAGACGGGGCCGCTCGATTGATAGAATTACATGGCACACAGGATATGAAGGAAACAGCTTTCGCGCGCCTCACATCGCGCGACCCGGCAAAATTTTGGACCAGTGGACAGTGGATGACGGAAAGACCTGGCGGGTCGGATGTCGGGGGTACGGAAACAGAGGCAGTTAAATCCAGCGATGGCCGGGGTTGGCTTCTATCCGGTTTCAAGTGGTTTTCATCGGCCACCGATTCTGATATGACTTTTCTACTCGCTCGTACACGAGACCAATCGACTGGTTCAGTAAAAGAAGGGTCGCGAGGGCTTTCTCTGTTCTACGCCAAGCTGCGCGACTCTGACGGTAACCTCAATGGAATCCGAGTGCATCGGCTCAAAAACAAATTCGGTACCAAGGCTCTCCCAACCGCAGAGCTGGAGCTAGATAATCTCCCAGGGTCCATGGTGGGGTCCGAGCATCGTGGTGTTGCCACCATTGCAGTGATACTCAACATCACTCGCATACACAGCGCGTTGTGCACGACCTCAAGCCTTCGCAGGTCGTACGCAATCGCGAAGAGCTACGCCGAGAAACGTGTAGTATTTGGAAAGTCGTTGTCAACTCAACCACTTCATCTTGCTACCTTGGCTGATATTGACATGACCTTGCGCGGCGCTATGCAGCTCTTTTTCTTTGCGGTACTACTCCTCGGAGAATCCGAATGCCATCCCGATGAGAGCCGTCGCGCCCTGTCCGGAACACTGCTTCGCATTACAACACCTCTTTTGAAAATGTGGGTTTGTCACGAAGCGATGCCGGCTATAACAGAAGCCCTGGAAGCATGTGGTGGACAGGGCTACATGGAAGAGACTGGAATTGCCCGTCAGCTTCGCGACGCCCAGGTGAACTCGATTTGGGAAGGAACAACAAATGTCCAAGCTCTAGACTTGTTAAGGATCGTGGGCCCAGTCTTTCCTGTGTACAGGAAGAAAGTGCTTGAACTTGTGAGCCACGAGTCGCTACTGAAACTGCCCGTGAGCGTGGTTAAGGATGCCTTGGATTATGTTCAAAAGATAATCGTTGCCATGCAAAGTTGGGAAAGAGATCAACAGGAAGCAAAGGCCCGGTTGCTTGGATTTGCATTGGCGAGGATACTCATTGGGGCCCTCCTTATCGATCATGGTGTTTATCTGCAAAGAGAGGGTCATGGTGATGCTGAGGCGAGCTTAGTATGCGCAAAACGCTGGTGCGCGAACGTCGGATTATTGGTAGGGCAATTGGATGCAGCACCACATTCGTCGAAGGAAGATTTGGTATTAGTATACGGAAAGAGTTCAAGGGCTATGCTTTAATTCCACTGCGAGGGGATCGCTGGTCAATATCTAGAGAGGTTACTAGTACTTTGGAATAATTTCTAGACGTAGCAATGGCTGCCGGTACTTTTGGATAGCGCTTGTGACATCTGTCAAGCAAATGCTGGATCAGATCTCCTTCACAAATCCCAGCCCTGTTGGTGGATGGTTACCTAACATATGTCGACAATAACGATGGTCTTTTTTGGTTGGGGGCAGGTCGTTTCTCCTACCCTCGCGCTAAGTTCATCCAAACATATGCATGTGCAATTGCTGTGGATCTGGAATTTTGTCAAACAGTCCATCGGAGGAACAAGCAGATGCCAAGGATACCGGGATGGCTGATGCTATGATGTCGCTTACCAGTCATGAGTTTCTCCCAACAGGTAAAGAACGGGGCCTTGAGATCCATTAGAAAGGAGATCAGAGAGGTGAGGTGGATGAGATCACTCACTCGGATCAGGCCTGTTGTCGTCGACAGTGGGGAACTATTTGAAGACGATCAACGAGCTTTTGTAAACACAGATCAAACGTTTCGTCGATTCACCAAAGTTTGTTACGCCACTCTAATGGAGCTCTAGTATTGCAAACAAAAACAGACGATGTACATGCATACATAAATTAAACAACAGCGAAAGAAACCACAATCTCAGGCGACATTCATCTTTGGTTTCGCAGCTCCGGCTTTCTTGGGACGAAGCCACTCTTTTGGGAATTCGAGATTCGCACGACGAGGTTTGACGTGTCGCAGATCCAATGGTACATCTGTGAAAGCATCTTTCTCATCCTACGCAAAATAGGCTTCATGAGCACCAAACGACGAGATTCGCAGCATATACAGCGGCGTCCTACCTTTGCCTCATTCACCATTCCATTCAACAACTTCACCAACCCAATCCTATTCATCTCGCGATCCACCTCTGCGTTCCCAGTAGCAGCTACCTCACTTGTCTCCGCAGACACTGTAACCACATCGCTGTAAGGATCGTACTTGTCTCCAGCCAAAAGGAGAAATTTGTGACGTTGGGCAGGGGTCAACGGAAGTGTACCAACTTTGACCTGAACGGTGACTTTGGTAGAGTAGGGTGGTGGCTGTGTGAAGTCATATGTGTAGCTGTCGTAATAAGTTGTTACAATGTGGGATGTTGGTGGTGGTGTGAACGGTCGGTGTTTTCCTATGCAACCATATTTAGAGCTTGCCACCAACACATCAATATTCCGACAATTCAGCACCACAAACCTTTAAGCATTTCGACATCATTCTTCATCTTCAACAATAGATCCTTGGTCCACTTCGCAGTTTCTACAAAGTCAAGTTCGTAGCGGTGCAATCCATCCGCGGCGGTATCCCCACTGAGTGCTACAAAATCATTTTCGTCACGACGCTCGGCACCCGTTTGTTTCTTGCGTGCATAACTGGCAAACGTTGTGGTAAAGTTCCGGCTAGGTGCACGGACGGCTTTGAGGGCCGGGAGAAGCTTCCTGTATGGGCGCATCATTGGGAGTGACAGCTTGTCCAAAGATCCAACGTTGATTTCAGCGACCACCTATACCCGTTGCCATAGAAATTGGCAATTTTACCTCTTTTAGTTCTAATGGAACAGCGAGATTAATCACAACCTAGCAGGAACGGTGCATTGATCGTAAATGGCAAATGTATTATAATAAAAATGTGATAAAAATACTGCAGTCTCCATAATTTATATTATACATGACTACATAAAATCAGCGGCCACCGCTCGTCGGGGGCTCTTGCGGTCTGGAGTCGGGGTGTTTTTTGAAGCACTACGCGCTGATTTGGGAGTCTTTTTCTTGCTCTGTGAGGATGTAGGGGTCTTCTGAGCTCCTTGTTTAGTCGATGGTTTACCCTGCGGAGTTATCGGATCTGGTGATTTCGTGGAGCTCTTCTCTGAGATTGCAGGGTCTTTGGCGGATGTTGTGTTGGATTGTTGCAGCAGCGTTGTCAGGAGCACTGAAAGCTGGGACGATTTTGCGGCTTTTGGGCTTTTCTTTGATGTCTTTCCTGGAGTTTCCTTAGACTCTGTCACAGTCCCATCCCGTTTTGGCGTCCCCTTAGGCGTTCCTTCCTCTACAGTTTCGTTCGCTTGAACGTCTTCGTGGGCCTTTTCCGTCCACACGGCCGATTTCAGCAAACTTTCGAGCTTCTTGGCCACTGGTGTAGCAAGCGCAGGTTTCAACACAGGCGGCGCGCTAGTTTCTGTCTTGCGAGAGGGGGTGCCTTCCTCCGCCACGGGCTCTTTTATGTCGAAACCTAAAGGATATATAAGTAAATAAAAGCGTTCTCGTGCTCTATACGCGACTACTCACTTTTGACCATGTTTTTCTCCATGACAAATTTTACAGATTTCCTGGGATCGGAGCTGGCAGTTGCTATGAGCAGTGTCTGTTTGGATCATAGTTTAAACATTCGAGCATTTGACGGTCGCCGCAACATCGCCTGCAACCAACCTTTTGGGTTTGTTTCGCAGGGACTGTCATCGCATTCTTTCCCGTCTTCTTTTGTTTCGATTGCGGTGTAACTTGGAAATCCATTAACTGTCAATATTCTAAAATGGTTCACAGCTGCTACATTGCTATTGCTTACCTGGACTCAGCTTTGGATCTATACTGTCTGTTACGGTTCCGGGCAGTGGAAGTGCACCGGTTGCGTCCTGGGTCTTCTTGGCTATAAAACACCAATGAGTCGACGACCGACGCCACGCATGACATACAGGATCGACATACTTTTGGCCTTGGGTATCTTCGTGACCTTAACCTCCACCTTATACTGTTCAATTCCGTCCATCCCCTCGCCCGTTACGTCCACCCTCGCATCTGATGATTCTCCGTGCATATTTTCTTTGACATCCATCACCTGTGCCGTTTCATCTGCAGTCTCTGTCTTGCCCTTCTTTCCCTTCTTCTTTTTCTTCCTCGGGGAAGCATCCTCTTCGCTAGTGTCAACTGGCGCTGCTTTCCGCTTTGACCCCACGAGATCGTCATGTGCTCTTTCCTCACTCTTGGGTTCAGACTGGGCCTGGCCTTTGCCATTCACCTTCAAAGTAGCCGGACCAGCATCGATCAAATGGTCCGGCTTGCTTTTTGTTCCTTTGATGGCGCCTTTGGAGGTTTTCAACAGGCTCTCATCCACATCAATCTTCACAACTTTTGCATACGCTTTAAATAAGTGTTGCACTTTTGGTCGGTTTTTCACGAGGACATCGGAGCCTATTGCGATATCGAATATTCGCCGTCCAATTCGCTCGCAGTCAAACGGGAGAGAGGGGACGTCGTGATCCATCGCGCTGTCATCTGTTCAGAAGGCGAGTTTGATCCGTGTCCTCAGTCTATAAGTAGAGCAATGTTAAAACACTTACCTTTCGAAGTTTGATCGAGAATGTGCTCAAAAATATTTTCTCGGACCTTAGCGAAGACAACATCGTTTGCTGATTTGGATATGATATCAAAAAAGGGATCCAGTAGCTGAAAAACGGCGTCCGCAGTCGCCTAGGTCGAGTACATACGTCAGGCAACATCTGCGGCAAAGAATTTCTCTGTTATTTCTTACCTTTCCTCCAACTGCTCTCTGAAGTTCCTCCAGGTACACTTCCGCGGTGTGGTACCTCAAAGAGTCTGGAGTTTTCAGATCGTTGAGCCTGGAGAACGCATTGATGAGATTACAAGAGCAATTCCTTCGGCCACACGATATCTGTCAAACATACTTCAAAGGTCCATTCTTCAAGATCTGCAGGTACTCCCCAACCACATCGGCATCCCACCCTTTGCTCTCCAAATACTTGAACCCGTAGAAATGGAATTTTCTCAACAACATATAGTACTTGTCCAATCTGTTCAATCACAATGAGCAACTCCCCATGTTCATTGATAAGAACAAGTTTTGCACCTCAGCCTGTCGATCCCATGCCAATCCGCAACGATTATAGTCCAAAACGCTCGAATATACCGCAAAACCGTGGACTGAGGTAAGTGGAGTGCTAGGCTAGCGAGCTTATCCGCCAGGTGCTGTTGAATGAGAGGCTTATCGGACATCCAGAAACCTTGCAGATACAAAGGTTATTCAATGCAACATGGTGAGCAAACAATTGACCTGACTCAACTGTAGAAAAGTCCTTTCCAAAGTTTCAAGAGATCAAGATCCTTAATTTCTTCATTGTTTACCAGCCATTTCGTGAGACCTCTGACTGCCCGGTCGCGGATGCTCTTATCTGCAAGTGTATTGGAATTGAAAGCGCGAGACATTAAAACAGAGGCGAGAACAAAAAAAAAACAAAAAGATCGCAATATGCATTCAGCTGCGAACCTGTATGCGCAAGTTGCCTGCCAAACCCGCTCTGCATTCCTGAACCGTCCGTCATAATGTCCAGTATTCGGTACGGATGTCGTCAGAATATGGGCAGAATATCGGCAAGCAAATCAAAAAACATCCTTTGAGATAGCCAAAAAATCCCAACTTGTACGCATAACGTAACTGTGCCACCACTCAGCAAAAACAGTTAAAACGAATCGCTCAAACGATATTTTTTCTTCGATGCAGCTATACGATTAGCTTTTAACAATTTCTCGTATTTGAAAGTACAATAATAACATCTAACGTAAGGTTCTATCTTACCACCTTATTCCAAACATCCATCAAATGGTTGTTCACACCAGAATGCCTCTATCATCATTCTACATCTCATTGTCTTGACTTTGCAGCCGCCGACAAAGCAGCAATCTTGCGGTCAACCACCATCTTACGCCCTTTCCGATGATCCTCATAGTCTCTCCCAACCCGAGACTGAGGTCCAATGTCCTTGGACAGTATAAACCGGACCAGCACCATTACCCACGACGTGTGATAGGCTAAAGTGTTGTAGAATTCGGGTGCAACATCCCGGACTTTCCGTAGATTACTCCATGGTACCTAAAACGACGCGTAGGCGGTCAGATTACAGAACACGTTATTGTCACAATAAAGGAGAAACAGCAAGCATACCTTGGTAAAATCATGATGTTCGTTATGATATCCAATGTTCATGAATAGGTAATTCAAGCTTCCATAGTAGGAGTAAGTCTCTTGTCCATCGTCAAAAGTGAAGTGCTCTTGAATAAAGTGAGCCGCGGCAGGGTGAATGCCGTAGCCAAACCATAAGGATAGGAACAGATACAAGAAACCCCTTGGTCCACAGTAGATCCAGACAAGGGCATCCGTCGTGATAGTGAACACCCAGTTATACAGTTCCCATCTAGATGGCCGCTTTTGCATTGCTGCCCCTCTCACTACGTACATCATCGGGTAAAAGAAGAGAAAGACGAACTTCAAGAGCGGATTGCCTCTGATCAGTTTCACTTCCCAATCAAGGGGAAGGTCCGGATCATGGCCAATGACGCCTTGGTAGGCGTGGTGCTCCAGGTGATACCGGCGGAAGGAGGCATAGATGGGGAACGGGATGCCAATGTTGGCCACGAGCCCTACCGCACGATTGATAGCCATTCCTTCCCCACACAGACCATGGGTTGCTTCATGAATGATTACACCATAGACCTGTGTCAAGGACCCACCAACAATATACGTGCACGCAAGCATTCCCCACAAGGAGTCGGTCGCCACGCGCCCGAAATAGTACGCAAGGGCCACTTGGATGGAAGCGGTCAGCAAGGCAATCCACTTTGTAAGCGGTTCGTAGCCATATAGTGTTTTTATTTCGGGGTGGCTCTCCAGAATGGCAAGCTTTCGCTTAATATGCGGTTCGTCAAGGTCATCCTTGGCAATGTCGTCGTCCTTTCCTGGAATAGACCGGAGCCAGTCTCCCAGATAAAGAGGATGCCGACGGTCCAGCTGCTCTGTGCTTTCGTCTTTGGCACCTGCACCAGCTCTAGACCGAAGGTTCTCGGCCGCAGAGGCGGCTGATCTGAGCGCTGGTGTTGTGGAACACATTGCCAAGCTTACTTGAGCTATACCGAAACGTGTTTGAATAACCTGCTACGTGCAAGAGCGTCCCAAGAGTTCTATAGGCATACCTTGGAGCAAAGTTGGCGGATCAGTGCCAAGAACGAGGAGTGTTCTGTGGGGATGGGAGGGGCTGAAAAACGAAAACGCTAAACGGCCAAGTGATTTTCACCCTTTTAAATACGCGCGGCCAACTTTAAGCCCCGCCCGCCAAGCCGAAAATGGTTACATTGGATCTGCAAGTCAAATTGACTTGAAATGACACATTTCTTCAGCGCTTTTGGGCATTTGCTCGCTGGGAATCCTCGAGGATTTGGACACCACATCTTTCGTCTACTTGAGTGAAGATGAACGCTTTTTGGTCGCGCAAGTGCCGAATGTGTTGCACATCCCCAATGGAGGGGAACTGCCGCCTAGAAGGCATTTTCCCCTAAAGGGCAACCCCGTTCAACGGGGGCTTCTGGCATTAGACAGGTCAAGCTTGACGGGCTCCATCTAGCACTGATCGCTCCCCGTAGCTGATTCCCCTCGAACTATGCTTTCGATTTTCGATTTCTGCTTGTTCCTTGATGATGAGCGATCCAAAGTTCAGGAAATGGATCGTGACAGGTTGCCACCACTTGAAAACCTCCTATTCCGGCATTTACCCGGTAGATGACCTGACAGCCCTCTTTCAGAATGCTCTGAATGAGATGGACATGCCATTCAACAAGCGTGCAAATCCCTATTCAACCTGCTCTTCCTTCGCCATCGACCCTCAGAATGTTGCAAATTCCATTGTTTACATAAGCAGAACCAGTGCTTAGTAACCGAATAACCTTATCCACAGATCATAGATCCCAGGTAACTGCCGTGGGGAAACTTGAACTTTTTGTTGAGGAAATGTCGCGAAGGACCAGTATAACGTGTGAGCACCTGGCACCCCCATGTCTGTGTTCGCACAACACAACCTCACATGAAGGTGACCATGACCAAACACCGGGCAAAACGGGCGAGTCGCGAACCTCGTGGGCTTCGATGAGCAGCAATGGCTCCACAGCATCCTCTTCTGACCGACACCAAAAGATGCCTTCGAATACCTTTTACAAACGGACATTGCCCTCCACATGCACACCCTTCAACTCTGCAAAAGGTCGCTCTCTGTTTACCGGAGCGTTGACGGAAGGATACATGGAGACATACTTTGCTCTATCATTGCAATATTTAACCCAGTCAGAGCCAGCATATTGTGGACTTTCTTCTCTTTGTATGGTGCTGAACGCTCTTGAAATTGATCCCGGACGGCAGTGGAAAGGCGTTTGGAGATGGTATGATGAGAGCATGCTCGACTGTTGTAGACCTCTGGAAGACGTCATGAAGAACGGAATTACGTTGCCAGAGTTCGTATGCCTAGCACGATGCAATGGACTAAAGGCGCACCTGAGAAGGGCAGACAAAATGTGAGATAAATATTCAAAGACCCAGGGTTTACATGTAGCGCGGGAAGGTTGACTGACTGCTACGCTACCGCACGTCTTCCTCAGCACGAAAGAGCAATTTCTGGCCGATTTAAAGCAAACGTCTCGCGAGCCAAAAGAATTCTTGGTCGTATCGTACGATCGCGGAACTCTACAGCAGACTGGAACGGGGCATTTTAGCCCGGTGGGTGGGTATAACGAGTCAGAAGACATGGTCTTGATATTGGATGTCGCGCGCTTCAAGGTTTGTCGTACTGTTGCAAACATCTCGGTAATGTGTAAATTGTACTCAAAGCTGCGATCCATCGCATATTTTTCAGTATCCAGCATACTGGGTGCCGTTCGATCTGCTCTGGTATGGGGTTGCAGTTGATCTGTCGTAGTCCTCAGAATGACTAGACGGAAAACCATTTTTCACACCAGGCAATCACTGCAACCGTGCGACACAACAACTGGGAAGCCAAGGTACACGCCAACGTAGTGCCTATCCAGCATCTACCAACAAGGCGGACTAAATTTCACTATTGAAAACAGGGGCTATGTCATCCTCAAACGAGGAAAGCGTAGCTACGTGCAATCCGCCCTCAGTCAGCTGGCCGTGAACCGCGAGTCTTGGCCTCGTTTGTCCAACATCCTATTCCAAGAACTCCCCAAGCGGTTTGCCACGTCACCACCCGAGAGCCCTGCTCAGTTCATTTCCGTTGTTGTGGACGCCATTCCCGATGAGTATGATTCTGTGGTGGAAAATCGCATGCCGCTATTTGTGGCTCCTTTTGCTGCAGATGATCAGGTGTTAACAGCAACCGCAGATGGAACGAGCGTGGGACAATGTGACCCACACCAGGTCGGCTGTGAAAACGTCCAGGCTACTCTGGATGCATACGTAGCCGGGCTCGATGATTTGTTGCACAAGCTTGCGGAAACCGATCTGTATCGGTTTGTGGCGGACTCAATTGCGTCCAAGCGCAAGATGCGAAATAGAGAACAAATTATGGCTATGGCGGCAGCTGCCAGCGCCAAAGCAGCTGCCGCTCTTGCCGCTCAGAATGGTGAACCAACGGACGCAACTACCGAACCCACCTCATCCACACCACCGATCCTTAAACCTCTCTTCATCGAGCGTACTTCCGCCATGTCTTCTGCCCGTATCTCTTCCCCACCAATGTCTCCTCGTTACGCTGTCATCAATGCTACGCAATCCTGTGTGTCCAGCCCTCGACTTAGCGGAATTTTCACCCCTGAGCGAGCAACATCGTCATCCTCACTGTCACTATCCCTTGCTAATCTGCATCCGCCTAACCATCCAGTAAACGACTTCACTGCTTTCTTGACCATGTTTTTGTTTGCCCTGTTTTCTTACAAGCCTTTCCATGAAAATTTGAGGGACGTGGACGCGGATGGGGATTATGGTTTATTAGAGCTACAGCATCAGGATCCACCGTCGCAGGAGGGAACCCGGAATGGAAAAGCAAGTGGAGAGTTTATGCCAAACGGCCGGAGGATGTCTATGGCTGAACGAGTTCGAGGTGTCGTCAACTTGGATGTGGCAGGAATTCAGGATGTGAATTTGCGAATGGAGGTTGCTTTTTTGCGGGACCAAATTGCTGCTTTGACAGAATTGCAGAGTCAGGATGCAAGTCGGGTTGCCGGTGTACCTACACCATCATCGGCGTCATCTTCTCTTTCGGTTGACGCAAGTGTACCATTGTTGACAGATGCCAATGCAAGCAATGTTAATAGTTCATGACGAACTAGAGAAGCGAGGTGCATGAAACCAAAGCTGTTACAGTAGCCCATGGCTAGAACATTCTGTATTCAGTATTTGCTCTAGTGCTGAAACGGCCCTTATCACCTACTATACACCATCTCTAGATATTTTATACAAAAAAGATACAGATTATCGCTAATATGTATCGCATTAAACTTTGGCGGCAAAACTTCTCAACAAAGCATCCTCTCCCCCGCTAAAAATGTACTCTCCCACCCAATCTACTCCAAAAACCTTTTGCTCTTTAGTTTTGTCCCCGCCCGCTAACGTGTACATTGGCGTCGTACTCCGTATATCCCATACTTTTATAGTCGAGTCATATGACCCGCTGACAAAGGTGTAAGAGTTTGTTGACGACCATCGGACGGAGGAGACCCAGTTGGTGTGAGAAGAGAGGTGGAGTTTAACCGTCTGGCCTTCTGTTTTATGCGCAAGATCACCAAAGGATAAGCCATCGACTATGGCAAAGAAATGGCCTGAACAAACACAACAAGCACGTACCCTGAGCTCTCAAATCCCACAATCGAAGAACTCCATCCGAATGCCCCGTAACAATCAACCCATTCTCACCAGAGTAATCCATGCCTAAAACGACTTTTTCGCAATTTCTGGTAACTGTGTTTGTACTTTGCTCTACATCCCATGCACGCACGGTGTGGTCCCATCCGCCTGTGACCAACATGGCCGAGTTTGTCGGTGCAAAAGTAACGCAAGAAATGGGACCCACGTGGCCGGTGAGACGCTTTTGAGCACGCTGTTAGGGCATCTGGGTTAGCTTGTATAAGAAATCAAGAAGGACCAAATTCATACATACCTTGAGTGGAATGACAGATGAATCGGCACCTTGGTCTGATTTGAGTTTTCTTCGCTTCCGCGATTCGCCACCATTATCGTCCTCTGCTTCCTCAACATCGTTCGGATCCGTATTCCAGAGCAAGACACATCCATCCCATGATACAGTCGCCAATTCCTTTCCATCCGGACTGCACGCCACCCCCTCCACACTTCCAGTATGCCCCACACATTCATACAGTATTCTCGACTTGTTTCCTTCAGCATCGTACTCCCAACCAAACACTTTAGCATCCTGCCCCCCCGTAACAAATCGATATCGCTCCGCAATAGAAGACTCAGGAATCCATGATACAGACTTAATCGGGCCCGAATGCCCCTTCAAAACTGCCTTACAAACTCCTGACCGATCCCACACCCTACCCAAGGTATCAAAGCAACCCGTCAATACTAGCCCAGAACTATGTCCGCGGACGCTGGAAATCCATTCATCGTGCTCAAATGCTGCCGCTGGGGAGGGTGGTAGTGTTGCTTCCACATATTCCAGTTCGACAATGTTTTCAGTTGAGAGGCCGTGATTGTCCAAGTATGTTTTAAGACTCGTTTGAAGGAATTTTCCGTCGATCAGAAAATTGAAGGGAATAGGCTTAAGTGTGGTCTCGTCGGACTCGGTGTCTGTTGCCGTTCGTCCGAGAAGATGGTTAATAATTTCGGAGAGACCGTAGCGTCTCAGACGAGCAGGAACAAGGATTGCTGTATCGGTAACGGCATGCTGTTGTTGGCGGGTGCGGAACCGTACTTGGACTTGAATATCTCCCACCTTGTTTGTTGAGGTGGCTGGTGATGGGGGTTGTTCAGTAGTCATGCTGGTGGTTCTGTGCAAACTGGAGTGTGATCTCGGAAAGGCAGCAAGATCAACCAACATCGCCAAAAACAAATTCAAGTTTGATGAGATAATGTGGCGTAAAGAAAACCACGTGATACATGTTGTTCCAGTGTCAATGTAGTCTGCGTATCTATCTATCTACTAAGGACAATATCCATCGATCCCACAATGTCTCAAACTTCACCATAGCCTCTGCTTTCTCCTGCTGTCCCATGCCAGCATAGGTAATTCCATTGGAAGCAAGCTTCTTCAGGGAAGCAAGATCCAATGACTCAAATGCCATGTAGACTGACGTGAGGGAAAGGAAGTTAAGGTGAGGGAGAGGAATTTAAGGTGAGTAGTATATGCTGAGAACATACCAGGACCCACTCACTCACCTTGATAGTAGTCGTAAGAAACACCTTCATATCCAAAAACCCCAGGATCATCCGATGCCAATGACACCTGTACTCCCTTCAGTAACAAATCAATCATCGGATGGCCACGGAGATCTCCAATATAGCCAAGGAGTTGGTTGGAAATCGGGGCAACCTCCACCGCAATGTCGCTGTTGATGAACTTCTCAATTAGTCCCGGATGGTGGGAAAGCGAGAAGGCATGTCCAACGCGCTTGGTGTTGAGGAGATAGGCATCGTAGAGATTTGTATCTGGGGGAACTCCAGAGCGCGTCGTTTCGCCGGCATGGAAGATGAAGGGAAGACTGGTGGACTGCTCTGATGCGCTTGCTTGAGCTTTTCGCAGGGTATCGACCAGTGGTCTGAGTGCGGATGTCTATAAAGGAGGTTAATTAGTTGAGAGCATAATCCGCTCATCCACGAAATCTACGAATTCCAACCTCTTCGTGCCCGACGAGATCATATCCAATGATCTGATCGCCATGAGTTTTTCGCAATTCAATAGCGTGCATCAGTGAATTTTCAATATCAACTGTCGGGTTAAATCGCAGGTCTTGGTAAATGAATCTCAAGTCTTGGAAATGCGGATGGTCCTTTCTGAACTTGTCTACAATGTCCCGAACACTGTCCAGCACGCTCGAGAAGTTGCGGCGTGTTCCATCTAGATGATAGGTCTCCCATCTTGAAGAACGGAGTTCAATGTAAGTGAGCCCATCATTGTGATATTGTTCTAGTAGCCGAGTGATATATGCCTCAAACATCGGTTGATATTGGATCAGCGACCCCAATGTGTCAAAAACGAGGTCAAATTTAGCCCACGCTTTTTCCTCGGTGGGGTACTCACTAGCATGTATTTCCGCTGATTAGAGAGATGGTGGAAGAACAGAGTCGCGAAAACTCACTTTGAGATAACGCTATTTTGGTGTTCGACGAATGCATCAAATGCAGAGGGTCCACCTGGGAAGGAGCTACGAGCATGTTGACAAGAAGCCCATTCATCACGGGGTAATTGTGTGGACGAGAAATTGAAAAGAGGTAATTGGATACTTGCATTACCCCTTTCGTCAAAGGTGGGGTAAACTCTGTTCACAAATCTGGGAGCGAGCGACGATCATTAGTTTTCGACCTCAGACATTTAAAAGGCTATCTGATACTCACTTTAAATAGCAGTTTCCGATATCCTCAGCTGCTGTTTTCACTATCCACTTGATGTCCAGCATGGCTTCCAAATGCCCGTGCAAAAAACCGCCCTTTGGCATAGACCTGATGACTTTGAATAATTCTGTGCTGTCTATCACAGGCTTGGCGAGTGAGAAGTGTAAGGCAGGGGGAAATTGACTTTGAGCTTTCAATGCCGTGGTCTCTTTTTCGCGAAGAGCATGAAGGTAAGCATTCGCCTTCTTATCCATGTCTGATAGGACAATGTCATTATCAAAACGATTTGCGGAATCATAAAGGACCAGTTGGTTTCGTTGCACTGTGTAGGTGGGATCGGGTGATCTTGCAATAGGGGCCGCTATGACAGGCGCAATTAGGAAAGTGAAATACGCTAGAATTCTGTATATTGGTGCCATATTGACATATAGATTATAGGTGGGGAAATCAGCAGAGTCCTCCAATCCCCATTGGGGGGGGATGTGGAGAAGCACACTGCAAAGGAGAAGCGATGATGAGCTCATGCCCATGGCTTGCATGGCTTTGCAAAGCCTCGATTTCACACGTGGCAAATATCGCGCGCCCTCCGAAGCGAACGGACGACGAAAGGGCAGTGCAGAGCAGAGCTGGAAAGCGATAAACATACTTGCTACTGGAGTGAATCAAGCAGCCTTAAGCCGATATTTTATGGATCTTGGCTGAGGTGATTACTGCGGTCGTTCCATTTGCATAAATTCTATGAGATGCTTCCGTTGGCAAAGAAAGTATAATAATAGTGACTTTGTGGGCCGTAGCGACTATAAGCCAAGATTGGCGGAGCAGGCGGTGAGGAGGAAGCGGAAGCGAACGCAAATCCAACCTTTTATGCGTCAGAAACTGCACCCTTTGATAATGAGATCCGACTGGAATTTATGCAACAAAAGCTTCAAGGACATTCGAAATTATGTACTCTACAGTCAGCAATATCTGCTCTGTGTACGTTTCGAGCATCCCAATTACGGATCATGAGTGAAAATAAACGAAAAAACAAAAACAAAATGTCCAGAACTTGACGTCTGCAAGCAAACTTCTTTACTTGCTGTGCCACGCAATGTCCGACAGACGTCCGAAATCCCTCCTTCCCCTGGTGGATTGCTTCGGTTAGCAAATACGTTTTATCAAAACAATCGGCGATTTCGATCTCGGCCTCGTACCTCCACATTGTTTGATTCTTGATAGAATAGCTACCGACTGCTGCACAAGGTCTTCTGACCCGTATCTTTCTTCGCTGCCCTCAATTTAGAACATCAAAAGTTTTCGTTTTCCCCGTTGACTAGTGTTGGCCAAGCCCATGTCAACATCCAAACCTGATTCATCAGAGTCTTCAGCAACACCAACGAACAAAGGATGGAATTTGGATGCGCCATCCTATGTTCCTGACAACTCGGCGCTCGCGCAGACACCGGCGACGGACCCCAGACGGGGCCATCATGGTGGCGGCCAAAGTGGTCGTGGCCGAGGGAGAGGTCAGCGAGGACGAGGGAATTTTCGCGGCAGGTCCGCATATAAGGGTGGGTCAGGCTATGGATATGAATATCCGTGGCAACCAAGGGTATACTATGGGGAAGAGGGATATGTGCATTATGGGAGCCCAGACGCAAGAAGATATCATACTGATGCCGTTTTGCTTGCCGGAGGAGACCCTGGATATGGTGGCGACGGGGGAGTAGGTGCGCTGTCTGACCTTTTGTAATTTTATTGCCTCACCAAAGCTCGCTAATCAATCATACAGGCTACACAGAAGGGTATTCGTACATCAACCCAGGTCCGGACAACGTAAGTCTACCGTCATACCAGAGCCAAGATTTTGCAGATCGGTCGCTGTCGTCCGATACAGAGCGCGACAATGAAACGGATAAAGCAGAATCTTTGGCAGATTCAGTCATAACGTCCTCCACGTATACCGATGCGACATCGAGCTCCTTTGTTGAATCGCTCATCACCCAATCCTCTCGAGGAAGTGGGTACAGGAATCTGAATCAGCAGCATCGTCTAGGCGGACAGGCCTCCTTGAGACAGCAAGCTTCGATGAACTCTGAGGAACGAAGATTGGAGCAGCGGCAAAAGCAGATAGACTATGGCAAGAATACGGTAGGATATAAGCGATATATTGCGATGGTGCCAAAGTGAGTGACAAGATTGGTCCGGCTACCTAATTACACCAATATTTGTGCTCATCAGTTTTGTCACAAGGCACAAGCGTAAGAGAGGGGATCCGGAGACGCCAAAGAAACACGCCAAATGCAGCAAGAGATGTTGGGATGGTTTGATAAGACATTGGCGGAGAAAGCTGCATGAATGGGACCCACCAGAAATGAAGGAACAGGGGCTATCGGATCTTGAGTTCTCGGATATTATCAAGGAATCTGTCCGGACAACCACTGATCAGCTAGAGGAGAACTTGAAGCACCCAACGGAACTAGCTGACTGGACTTTTCCTCCCGTGACGAAGGAACCTTTGCGTGTGAAACCCACTCCGCTAGGCGAAAGTCTGAAACAGCCGCAAGCGGCCAGGTACAGATCGACACGTTTATAGAATTGCGTCTAGGATTTGACATCCCATTGCATGATGAAATAGGAACCTAGGCTTCGGGTCCACACCACCTCCAACAGAGCCTCTTCGGCCACTTTGGGACCAGTTTTCGATAGATGAGCTGGATCAAAAGTTTGCATCTAAATTAAGACCTTGGGAGACGTTCGAGGGCTTCGGTCCAAGTCCAACCCGCCGGACAACAAAGCGCGGAGATGATCCTTTATCGTGGGCGGAATTTTCCATTGACGAATTGGACGAGAAGTTTGGTCATAAGTTGCGCATATCCGAAGCAATTGATTTAACATACAGGTGAGGAGTTACGGTTCTTGTTTTATGGACGATGATGCTAACCGAACTGGAATCACCAAGTCCATTAAATAACTCGACGAGCTCACCTTTCACCCCTTCCCCTCGATCTAAGCTCGCTCCGATTGGGTATGTTCAAAAGTGGATATCAGTTTAGACATATAAGGCAGCGCGGTAATTTTATCCTCGCCCTAGTCGACCGACCCCGGTGAAGAGATTGAACCCTATGGCAGCTAGTTTTGATGTGCTTGGCGCGTCACCGATCAGCAGGTACATTGTTGAGATTATTTTGCCCAATTCATTAAGCCGCGTCGAGCTTTATCTCTTACTTTTTTGATGGATTCCGGCTTACAGCGATACCCATCATACCGGGGACTCGTCGGTAACACCTAGAACACATAGATCCAACAGTATCGGGTGCGTTCTTTTTTGGGGTCTCTACATTTGATTCGGCATTACCGACGCCTCACATTTCTACCAGTTTCTCATATTCGGATCCCCGGCGATTGCACAACCACCAAATGGAGGGCTCTGCAAGCCCTCTAAGTCTGTACGAGGAAGAAGATTCTGTTATGGTCATATACGATCCAGCCGCGTCATCATCGGTTCCCTCCTTGACGTCATCTACGCTACCCTCCCGGGCGGCAAGTCCTTCCAGGACTGCGATGGGAAGAGAAGCAACACCGCAGTCGCTTTGGGGGAATGGGAGTCCTAACAAGGGGTCTCCAGGAATTGGGCGAGTGGGCGCAGGAGTAGGAGAGGTGGGTGGCGGGACTCTCTTAGATGGCGTCTGGTAAGAAAAAATGGCCGAATCTTTGGTTGGCTTGTTTTCAGCTGTTGCCAAAAGTCGGAGGTGCTTGGCGCCTCTTGTGTGTATTTAACCTCTGTGCCCACAGCATGACAATTGAAATAAAAGTTCTGTCGTGTCTAACTCGTCATGGAGACATTAGTACTAAGGCCAGAAGTTTCCAATGAATTCGCCACCACATTGTCATTGTTTTAGGATTACTATGTTGTGCTATTTCAAGAAAGTATTATATATACAGTTAAGACCGACACCATTCTCAGCCGTCTCCACCAAAGATCGTCTGTCAGAGATCTTCTTTGTCCAGCAGACCTCAGGACGAACTAGTGTTCAACCATCGCTCAAATCAAGATCCGCCAGCCTCTTTTTTATCTCATCAAGGTTTCTAACGGAGCCCTCTGCGGTACCACTACAACACCACCAATAAGCTTCAGCGAGCTTCGAATTGTACCACTGGAAGAAAAAAAAAACGAAATCTCAGTCAGAATCCGCTTGTGATCCAATTTCGACTGACTCAGACTTGGTTTACTTACTTCTCTTTGTGCGCTTCTTGTACATGATTCGGTATCCGCATTCTTTACAGCGAATGGGTTCTCGGGGTTTTATGGTGTTGTCTTTCCCGCATTCTGGGGTGTCCGTTGGGTGAGCCAACAAAATGGGGAGCCCCAATTGCTACTGCAGATATGGCTACTCACCACCGCATGTGTAGGTAACCTCGACTCGTGGGGGCTCGAGTCCTCTTTGGAAGCCTTGCTGTCCGTCCATCGTTCTGGACTGTCTCCTCCGAAGCTTGGTCTTTTGGAATTTGTAGACTGAAAGTGGTTCATAATCTAGCCTGTTGTCATGGCAACAACTGACACCTGGGAGCGACTTGCGATGGGTATTGAAGTGATCTAGGTTAAGAGGAACTTGACAAAATGGTCAAAGACACACAGCCAAGTAACAACGAAAGGAACTTTATACTGCAAGCTCTAGATCAAGGATTACGGATAGATGGGCGGGGACCACATGATGTGAGAAAAATCTCGATTTCATTAGGACCCCAGTTTGGGCATTCTGAAGTTCGTTTGGGAAAGACACGGTGAGATATGATGTGTCTGCGAACCTGTTCAAGAGACTAGGACCTTGATGCTCATTTGGAGTGGTTTATTTGAGACCTCAGAGTGACTGCAAATGTTTCGTGTGAGATTGTGCGACCACGTCCAAGTAACCCGACAGAGGGACTGGTCCAGTTCACCACCGACTTTTCACCCATGGCTTCTCCCGCGTTTGAGGAGGGAAGGTACGAATTGAGAAGTGGAGGGATTAGCGTCGTGGTGTGTAAAATGTACGCTGACTTGGGGTTGTCAGTCTATCAGAAGAAGACGTTCTTGTGAGCCGACTGTTGGAGAAGGCGCTGAAGCAGAGTCGAGCCATTGATACCGAAGGACTTTGCATTGTTGCGGGGGAGAAAGTGTGGCAGTTGAGGGTGGATCTCCGCGTCTTGGATCACGAGGGAAACATTATCGATTGTGCTTGTGTTGCAGCCATTGCAGCACTGCAGCATTTCAAACGACCGGATGTCACGGTTATCGGCGATGACGTTACCATTGTGAGTTGCCAACCGATGTATTTGCCTATCATTGTTATCTGACTGAACTTGCCTGGGCCTTCACGTAGCATACAATTGAAGAACGAAGTGGCATTCCTCTGAGTGTGCATCACATACCGATATGTGTTACCTTTGCATTTTTTGCCAATGGGTACGGATCGATTGATTATTCGCCCAGAAGGGGTAATACTTACCATGTTATCCCACAGAGAACGACAGGTAGCGGATCCCTCATTGCTCGAGGAACAGGTTCGGGAAGGCGACATGACTTTTGTTATAAACAAACATCGCGAGATTTGCACTTTGTCAAAAGCCGGGGGAATACCAATTACTGTAGAGCAGGTCTTGCACTGTGCTAATATTGCTACGGCGAAATCAGAGGAAATAACAGCGTTGATTCAGGAGGCTTTGGCGAGGGTGAGTTAACCACATATGCCAGTGAACACATGTAATAATACTTACCATACCATGTTTCCCGGTTATCAGCACAACGAAAGCATTGAAAGCGTATAATAAATTTACAAATAATGTGCAAACAGAGGCTGTTGGAATACACTCCTCTAATGTAATTATCGCAATAGGCGAGCCGCTTTGTACATTTCCTTTGCATATTTCTTGTTATACAGAATATCGTAAACAAATGAACTTTGCTGTGCCTCTGTAATTTAGCCTTTTAGAGATGCCAGTACGGACGCTTCAAACGCGATCAACAAACTTGGGCTGCACACAATCTTCCAGGTTATTAGCGGGGGCTGCAGGCATGACGGTTGAAAATGAGGAAAGGAGGTCAAAGCTCTCCAAGACGGATTCAGACCTTAGCGACAAGCCACTACGCACTCCTGGCTCGGGAGGCGGGTTCTCTACTGCAACGCCGATTTCTTTTGACCGCTCCACATTCTCTGGAGCCACGTTTTCCCCCGAGGACTTCTTGGCAGACCGACGTCACATTGCCCTAGATCAGCTCAAAACCGAGCTCCAGCAAGCTTTGAGGGACCTGAAGGCGGAGCTGGTGGAACTCATAAACCTCGACTATGCCGACTTTATAAACTTGTCGACCAAACTGGTGGGCGTCGATAAGATCATAGCTGACATTAGCCAGCCATTGGAGAAGATAAATACGGAGGTGCAGGTGTGTACGAAAGCTTGGATACAGTGGTGTGCTCGCTTGGTAATCATGTCTCCAAGTCCGTGTATGATGCCCTCTCCACAGTTATAAATGAGCTCGAGACGGAACTCGATAAACGTGCGTCCATTCGGGAGAAGAAGGTACGTCCCATATTACGAAATCGTGTCAACCGACATCATGCATGAACCCGTTGCTTCAAGTAGGGGTATCTCCAACTTTTTGTCAGTATACATGATTCTATTGGAAAATTGGACGCCTTGCTTAATGTGGCGGAGGGAAACAAATATGTCAGTGACTTTGAAGGGGACAACGGGTAAGTATGCTGTTTCCAGAATGAGCGAGTCTTTGCTTGTCAACTAACTCATTGATAGGTCAACGGAAAAATCCTTTGGGGACGGAAAGCTCATAGAAAGGGTTGCCAACGAATACACCCAACTGCGGTATTTAATTTCTCGAGCCGATAACAAGCCATTCGTTCAGCAAATACAAAAGGTACATACTAATATTAGTCAGTGGGGCATGAGTTCAGTTATTCCCTTGGTGGAGCAGTGTGTTGACCTATGCCTGTGCGTCCATGACAGCGAATTACGCGGATAAAAGATACCCTGACTTCGAGTTTATCACGTTCTTTGACAACATCTTACTCTGCCGTCATGAAAAATGGGGAGAATCCTTCGACCCACGCCGCCCTTTCTCAAATTCTTCGTACGTACGTCACGATTGACAAAGTTGACGAAGCCCAGAACATCTTCAAGGAGACTGTTATGCGACCATTTTTGGACAAGGTGCTACCAATCCCTCATGACCTTTCTACTCTCTTTGCGCTTACATCGCCTGCCGTGGCCTCTTTCAGAATATTTCACGCCAGGCTCTTGGGGTGGATTCAATTGCCACATCTCCGGTGACGGACAAGAATCCCCTGCAAGACATGTACAGTAAAATTCTCGAATTTACTCGCAAAGATTGTGCCAAAGTCCTTGAAGTGACCACCAGGGCCTTCCACGGAACCAATGGAAACTTGTTGATACATGGAATCTGGGCACCAGTGATAACCACGATACTTAAGAACATCAGCTTCATCTTTAATCCCGGCATTCCTGAAGTCTTTCACAGGGTGAGATGCAAAGCAAGCATCTTTGCGCATAATCTTGGACCCTGACACCTTGTTCAGAACTACGCTACAACCATGCGATTTGTAACCGAATTCGAGTGCTTGTGCAAAACAAGAAAGTCACTGTCGATCCTGAGGTCTCACCAATCGACTGGGGAATTCATGCGGCGTTGGCAGTTACCCGTATACTTTCAGATCAGGTGAAATAAGAAGATGGCAAATCAAGCAGGAGGCATCACTCATTGGTCTTATGTACATTGTATGCAGATTTAGAGAAATCGCAACGGACTTTGAAGAAACTGCTCTGGCAAGCTATAATTATGATGGCAACTTCACGGCCAATGACGGTATATTTGGGACCAACTATTTTCAGCAGCGTCTTTCTAACATATTTACTCATCGTGCACAGGACTAATTTTACCTCCAAGTACGGCACTTATTGTATGTATGCAATTATGCTGGGACGACTCGGTTTATCTCTGTGGGCTATCTCATCGCTTCTGGAAGCTGACGCTGCAGGTACTTGGGCATGGTGCAAATGGTGCAACGTCTGTAGTACGAAAGACTTATTCGCTTTAACAGTTGCTAGCGCGATATACATTGTGGGTTCGTCAAGCTCTGCAGCCAGATATTGATGTTTCGGCAATCTCATCCGACAGTCAAGATGCGGAGCAAAAGGTATATCTACGTACATTATACAGCCTTCTCCTGCGGCAATTAGTGAATGTGATTTTTTGATCCTAGGGCTCGTCTCCGCCAACAACGGTGCGCACGGGTAGTTCATCGGGCAAGGGAGGTCCGACAAGTACTGATGCCAGCAGCGATGCGGCACTCCGAAAATTCTTGTACTTCTACAATGATATTAGAGGTATAGAAGATCAGGTAAATCATGCCGTCTTGAGCTTGCGTGAACCCTCTCTTAACCATACTCTGCAGGTTCATAAATTTTTTGACGACAGTATCAAATCGAAACTACCGGCCGCAGTCAGAGACGACAGTATTCTCCGAGGTATGAAACCTTATCTTTGGTAGATAGTTTGGAAAACGATAATAACATGAGCGCACAGAGTCTCTTGATGCGTCCTTGTCGCCTCTAAAGGCGATTTTACCACAATTGAGCCAGCGCGTATGTAAAGTGCTGATACGCCGGTGTTCCGATCCACTGCGCAACAACATACATAGCATAACTCCGCAGTACCGCATGACAAACAAGGAGGTAACTGTCCGCTGTGTAATCTGGCAGAATTTGCATTCAGCGATGCTGATATTACGCCCACCTCAATAGCCTCCATCCCGACCGTCTCATTTCATTACGACCATATTTAAGCCATTATCATCCTTCTTTGATGATCACCGTCATCTTCTCAAGGCAACAACGATACCAGAATGGACAAGTTTTGTGATGGATGATGTTACGGGAAAGTGCGTGAGATCGCGAATTTCGACTTTCATATGGACCAAAACTTATCAATAAATCATCACGATCTATAGATACGCAAAGACCATGGGTGACGTTCTCTCCCACGTCAAAGGATTTGAGGAGTATAATCGAAAGAAGAATCTGAAGAAATCCAGTGCTTTGCCTGGGACCCTGGGAGGAGAGGAAGGAATGAGTGATGACGACAAGATTCGTTTGCAAATGTATCTGGACGTGGATCAATACGAAAAGCAGGTTTGTCGCTCATTACGGGGTTCAACGCGTCTGTACAATTGCTCATGTAACGCTGGATGCATTAGTTGATAGCGTTGGGCATTAACCCGCGAGAGCTGTCATCCTTTCGAGAGCTTTCCGACCTGGTTGCCCCTTATAAAAATGTAAGCCATTTCTTTTTTGACGCCGTCAAGCGACGCTAATCCTCTGTAGTTGGTTGGGTCGAGAAGATGACGAAAGTTGGTGCAATAATGGTGCCTTTCTGGATCAGATCAATTTCGATGGTCCAATGGCGACACACCGGAATAGAAGCCGCAGATCTCAACAAAAGGCGTATATCGTTACTTGTGAAATAGATGAGGCTATCATCGTTACTTCCGAGCCATCTCTTCCAATAAAAAGTAACATAATGGTACAGGAATACTAGAGCTTCCCAGAACTGTTCATGTGTGAAGACTGTTATGCCGAGAATCCAATCGTCCTATACATATTTCCCATCTCTACTAGTCTCCGTTGGATATTCCCTTTGTTTATTAAGATGCTCTCTCCTTATTTCTTGGGGGCAGGGGTGTCCTTTTCTACTTGAGAGATGGCAAAGTTCAAGTACCTCTCGGCATCGAAGCGGTAGGAGTCAGAGTCGATTGTGGGAACTAGGGATGATTGGAGGGATCGCAGTTAGTTTCAGTCTCGTGGTAATCTACCCCTGTGTGCACAGGGCTATGTGTCCGGTTCTCCTTGCACCCTTCCACTGAATGCTGCTTTCTTCTCTCGCGGTTCGAGCCCCCGGTGAATTTTTCCCACCCTCTTCAGTTCTCAGCCCCACCTCACACAAAGCACAACGCATGCCATTGAAATCTCTACACACTCCTCCGTATCATTCCTGCACTGCAAAACTATGAAAACACTTACTTCCAGCCTTCTTGGCCAATACAGCCTGTTCCTTGTTGACCTGAGCTTCGTACGCAATCTTAGCCTCCTCAATCAATTCCTCGTGGTGCTTTCGGGAAGCCTCCTCCTTGCGCTGCTGCACGAAGCGGGTCAAGGACGCCTTGTGCGTGAATCCGTAGAAAACGCCAACGCCCAAAGCTCCCAAGCGAAGCAACTACATCAGAAGGAACAAAATCATGAGTTTTGAGGCATAGAAATAAGCCCCAACGCTGGGCGCGGTTCTGAGTGTAATTTGGGTCAAGCAAAAGTTCAATACGTACGTTCGCTGAGTTGATGTTGACAATGCTGGCCATTGGTAGAGTCGTAATGAGTGGATGGAGGGAACCGTGTAAATTCGGGTTGATTGATGGGCGGTTCAACCAGTCCAACTCCCCTGTTGCCATTGGCAGCGGAATGAAAATCACGTGACATACAAATCGAGTAAGCGATCGGAGAGCTGCCAACGATCTCACTGTTATAGGAATGATGTTTTTGGTTCATAAAAGGTCTCTAAGTTATTTAATTACATAGCCCACATTCCTCACAATAAAACAATGCAAAGGTCATATTTCTCCAATAGGGCGTAACGCAATAATAGGCGCAAAGTCAGAACATGTCTGCAAAGATATTCAGAACGGTTTCAACTTCCTTTTTAGCCCGTTCTGACAACTCGCTCGTATCGGGTCTATATGGAACCAATTAACTATGAAAAAGATGCGAGAACCAAAGAGCGCTCACCTCGGTAGTTGTGACATAGAGACAGCCGCTACGCCGAGAGACGGTGCAACCGATTGGGACACAGAACCACTTTCAACCTGCTGCTCTACTTGGCCAGACTGTTGTGTCTTGGGAAGGGGTTCGGCAAAATCTTCCACTCTGAGACTAGTAATCCAAGAGCTCAAACTTTCTCGAGCCTCAGAGAATACTTTCGCGTGATTCCGGTTCTTTTGATGCTCAGTTGACCTATTTGTAGAGGCTGGACGTCCCAGTACGGTGCGACTGTTGGCATTGTCAAGTTGCTCGAGATCATGTCGAGTAACATCAAATATCGAGTTGCCGAAAACCTTTGCAGCGCTTGATGAGCTTTGGCCATCCTCCAATGCCTTAGACAACGAGTGGTGGGCTACAAATTGGTCCTGTTTGTGGCTTTCACGTAGGTCATCACCCATAAGATCGCTATCGAAACCTCTCTGGCCAGCACTGGGAGAACTCGACACATCCTCATCTCCGAATCCAAGGTCCGGGGATGCCGAAAGTGGGCCCTCTCCAACACTTTTCGACAATCTGGCTGGTATAGTGCTACTTTGTGTTATCCGACTATGCTGTTTGTTCAACGGACCTAGTTGCGTACGCATGTCGCCGCTTCGCGGTAAAGCTGGTTTGAAAGAATACTCGGCCAGAAGACGGCGGGATTTGGAATCTACTTGGGATGATTGCAATGAATCACTTTTGCAGCTTACTTGACCGCTTGCCGGTACCATTGCCTTGCTTGCCTTTCCACTTTGGCTGACAACTACCGGCAAAAGGTCAATGTTCCAGCTGCATCTTGAAGTATAACTAAGATGTTTTAAGGGAACGTACCGAAACCTTCATCCTCACTAGAATCAACAACATTAGATCGTTTGACCAACTTCCGTCTCTTTGATGGTGTCTGACTGATATTATCTAAATCATGATCATCTTCTTCTCGGAAGAGCGCCGTGCCCTTCCCAGATGTGGCTCCACTCCTCATAGCGTTTTCTACTGGGCTGCCATCAACATAATAATCTTCCTCCAACTCATCATCGGCCACAAGCCAGCCATCAAACTCGCCTTCAATCTCGGACTCATTTGATTGGGAAACACTTGTTTCGTCATCATCTGCCTCAATATCCAGAAACATCATGCCCGTAGTTGTACTGCCCCTTGGCAGCTTCGGCTTCATGACATCCTGGTTGATGACGGAAGCGCTCACAGCTTTCTGCTCTTTATTGTGCCATGGTTTACTCGTTTGCGGAGCCTGGGATTTAAAGACATCCTTTGATCTCGGCAGCGGCACGTCCTCGTCCGATTCGTTCAACGAATCATAATTCTTCTGAGATGGGAGTCCGACGATCGGTCGATGTCTGCGCAACTGGTGTCCATAGTCTTTATTAGTATCGATGTCAATCTGTATCTCTTGCGGGGACCGTGGACTTTTGTGGTTGGGACCCTCTGCTGACTGCATCTTACGCTTTTTTGCCGTCTTCGCTGGTACACCAATTTTGCAGCATTTATGCGTGCAACTATAGGCGTGGAGCGTTACGCATGTAGATCAAGTATCAACTAGTGTGTGCACTCACCTCTGTTTATTCTTGCATTTGTGAGCACATGGCACGTTCCCCAGGGGCAGGTTTGAATCTTGTGTCTTCTGTCTATATTGGGTATTAGGGCTTTTCCTGCTAGGGGACGGTGAGTCTGGCTCAAATACAAGAGAACCGTCGCGGCGACGAACGACGCCGCTGTCATAATTAGTTGTGTGTTTTCGAGCGGCGTCTCCTGCTGTGTTGGCTCCAGACGACGTTTCTTGCCTCAATGGGGATGGAAGCGGTGGAATATTGCTCTCATCGAAATCTGCGAGTAAGAAGAACTATGCTCAGCAAGCATATAATAATCATCAATTGAACCTGATGCCACACACCAAAGTCGTCGTCGTCCAGAATATGGTCATACAAACTTTCTTGGGTACGGAACCCAGTGGACTTGGAGCTGGGCCCGGATGCTGCTGCCGCTGCTGCAATGTTGGTGCTTTCAGTCAACGCAACAGCCTCCGATCCATCACGAGATAACCGGGAGTTGTTGTCGTCACTCCCTATAGGACGACTTAACGGGCGTGTTTGAGGGTAAGCAGAATTCTGCTGCTTCAGGCGATCTACACCGGCTTGCGACTGACGCAGATTACGAAAGTGGATTGGCTTCACGTCAGGTGTTATCTCCTCATTCAGATCCAAACCGACTAAGTGAAGGATTAGATGTTTCCGGTAGTCGGTTCACACATGGACCCCATTTGTTTACCAATATCTTCACTAAGAAGGGAACAAATAATCCGCTGGTTGGGGCTAGTTAGCTGGACCTTAACACGAAATGACTGGCCCTCTTGCAGCTTTTTTATCCTAATGAATATGTTAGCAGTCTACAAGATTTTAAAGCAGTAAGATCGCTTGCATGGTTGACTCACGTAAAGCGGCGATAGTCAATAAACATATCATCGGAAGTTCCGGCAATAAAGGTCGCGGAAGATTGCCCACGTTTCCCATATGTTCGGACATTGGCACCATTTGTAAGGCCAGCGTTGACGTAGAGCTCGACCTCGGTCGGTCGTGACAGGTCTTTGAACTACGATTGGGATGGCATTTAGATACCCACAGTGATCCGTCGCGCAACGATCTGATGACCTACTTGCGAGATCTCTAATTTAAAGCGAGGGAAGGTAGCTGCCGACTCAAGAACCTGTACCAGAAAATACTTCTTCAAGTACCAGAAGCAAATGATAAAAACATCGCCATATACCTTGTTACCGAATGGCGGGTTGCGGTTTACAGTCTACCAAACCTTCGTCATGAGTATCTTATAACCCTGTAGTACCTCAATAACAATTCGGCTTACAAATTCCAGATGCCGAGGGTCGGTCTTCTCCAGCTTCTCGAATGTTGATATTCCGGCATTTGCAAGCATTCTTGCCAGTGACGGGCCAATGTTCTCGATTTGTTTGAGCATCAAGGGAGAATTCTCCCAAGTTTTGGCCGCCAGGCATCGGGTTCTGGGAGAGGATTATAAGAAGCAGAAAGGTTGAAACGGTGTGAGAACTTACAAATCAATGGCATTTCGAAGGGATACGAGATCCCGCTTCACTTGGCAAATCTCAACTATAACTGGAAGAAAAGGTCATAAGGGTTGGCGTTGACAAGGGTTCGACTTTCTTACATCGGGCAATCCTGCACGCCGTTTGCATTATTCCGCTGGTTTCTAGAGTAAGAGATTGTGCCGTCTTCTGTTCCGTAAACGGAATCGAGCCGAGTGCGCACTGGGACCAAACGGTTGGAAGGGGCGATGTTACCCAGTCATGGACGAACATACTTGAATAAGAATATTCACTTTGTGCTCGACATTGACCACTTTCCCCTTTATGGGGAATCTATAAAGCTCTGCATTGGCGGACCACCCAGTACAATAACGACTTGTCGATATAATACGCCTTACCGCATAGAAGGGTTTTTATTTAAAGCATTTAGGTGCCCTTTATCAGAGTGAAACCGCAAGTTGGAAAACTCTTCGGCTTTACAGAGAGTCTCTAACTGAACCACAACGCTTTTTTAATCATAAAATGGTGACGGTTTGTATGTATGCAAAATGCATACCACGTTTCTAAGTGTTGCTTTCGGTTTCATCTGTAAGGCGGTAACAGCAGTTTGGTACTTTATATAGAATTTAGCCATCGCTCTTCCATAATCTGCCAAAGGAGCATCTCAATGTCATTCTGGAATCAAGCTCAATCTGGTCAACGACTTACCAGTTGAATCAAGTCGCTTTTGATCTTCCGCCATTACCACAAGCTCGTGGCTATTCAGTAGCTGCAGATCGCGCACACAGATACCTGGATTGATTGCGTTACTACACAAGCAAATTAGACTAGTAGGTGCAATAACCGTACTCTCTAGTCTCCGTTCCGCAGAAAGCTTTCCTTCGACGGCAGAGCAGTTCTTGAGCTTATAATGAGCGGGATTATTACGCATCCTCACTGACATCAGAATTTAGTGCGACAGTCAACTGTTCAAAATCGAGAGGATATGAGTACCATAAAGAAAGGATGATTGAAGCCTTTCACAATGATAAATATGAGCGAACAGCATATAAAGTGAAGCGGGAAGACAGGGCTATCACCATTCGATAGCAAGATCTACGCTTTTGATTGCTCCCAGGACAACTTCCGAATTCAGGTGCTCAATGAGATTTTCATGAAGGCTAGCCACGGAGCAAGCGATATGTACTCGGTCAACTTGGTCATTACCGAAGCTATTTGGCTTCCTACCTGCTCTCAATGATTTGCCTTCCGGTCACCATATCCTCATACTTCTTCCTGTCCTCCACTGTCGTCATGATCACGGCAACACCGCTATCGTCAAACTAAACCACTATGGTCAAGTCTGTATGGCATTGCAAAAGCTGACGCGAACACACCTGCGGTCTACCGGCTCGACCCAACATTTGCATGATATCCAATTCGCTATACTCAGTGTACTGATTACCCACGTATTGCTTCGTTCCCTTTATTATCACAAGATGGGCGGGCAAGTTGACTCCAACGGCCAAGGTAGAGGTCGCACCTGCAATGTGATCAGGAAATAGGTAAAACTGTCCAGAGCTCCCATCAGGTTACTTACAGACAACTGATATGGCACCCTTCAAGAACGACGATTCTATTAGATGACGGTCACCGTAGTTTAAGCCTGTTACAAAAGCATGAGGTGGAAACAGATAATGTAGCATTGTCTCGATTTTCCCTGACCTCCGTGATGAAAAGCAACGCCGTGCACCACGAGCTCTAAGATTGTGTGAGACATGGTCAAATCGGCCACAGTTCTGGGCTCCAGGGGGCATAAAACTCACCAGCTAGTTTTTTATCTGACAACTTGGCTTTAATTTCTTTCAAGCGTTCTGAAATTTGTCTGGTCTTTACAAAGGGATGCATGGGCCCGTAATTTCCCGTCGCATGCATTAATTCGCTACAATGCTTTACAAGTCTGTCGGTGGCATTGATGACCGATTTGCGAGTAGCACAAAACTATTTCACATGGTTAGCCAGGAGTAAATCGAGAGAAGGGATGCTGGTATACTTTCAAACTTGATAACACATGTAGACACATACCACAAGAGTAGGCTTGTTATGGGAGTATCGTCCGATGACTTCTATAAGTCTAAAAGGTGGTCTAAGTAACGAAACAGCATACTGGGAACGGAAGATCATACTTGTAATCCAAGCTGTTCTCGAATGAAAAGTAGTTGTTATTGTTCGAATAATAACCAAACACCTCCTTTTGAAGCTGCACGGGTCGAAACTCTTCTCCAAAGACCCTACCGACCAAGGAATGATTGAGCGTCAGCGGACAGAAGGGAGTGAAAACTAGTCATACCGAACTTCAGCTGGGGAATGGTCGGGGTGCTTTAGCCACGCGGCAATATCTTGAATATTGGGTACTGTGGCAGAGAGAGCGAGAAGCCTCAGCCTGCTGGCGAAATGTGGTCTGTTCTTGCTGTCACGTTGGAGCTCCAGGTTAACAGTCTTCATTCGACTGACGACGACTTCAAGGGTGGCACCCCTTCCGGGTTCGTTCAGACAATGACACTCATCAATCTAGCCACTGGAGTATCAGCAAAAGCTGGATTCAGCTACACGAACGCAACAAGCAGTGTATCACACCATGATCAAGCGAAGTAATCCCATCAAGCTCTTATAGTCACGCCTAAGAGAACAGTCTTTAAGTTCAACGGATTTACAGAGGACTTTCGGCTAGAATGCAGTCTCAAACCATCGTCTCGTCATTGAGTCCCATTTCTCCGGGGTCGTAACACTGGAACAAACTAATTGGATACCACAAGTTCCGAGGTCGGCAGTGATTAAAGATCTTACATGATATTACTTCGTTGTATCTCATATGTTCGCAGATTGTCTGTATCTCCCGTAAGCTCGTTACCTATGCGAGAACAGTTCTTATAATTCATATCATCGTGCCCGCGAATTGCCATTCGCACATACAGCTAATTCCTAAGGTGCGAAATTTCTGCTGCCAGTCTTTTGTCCTTTCATTACATAGAGCCTGGACAGGGACTCGAAACTTTAGCAAACTATGTTCTAGCTGCATATATAGTTAATCCAACCATACCTTTGTTGGTGCCATATACACAACTTTAGCATTATCGCCGTCAGGTTGCGAGAGCTGATGTAAAATAGCTGTAAGGTTCGCGAGTTAGTGACCGCATGCATAGGACACTCGATGCAGATCATCTCACCTAATTCCATAATACAGGTTTTGCCCGAACCAGTAGGAGCTAGCGCACTCGGAACTGTCAGAGGAGAAAAGGTACAGGGCTGTGCTGCGAAGCTTACCACTAACGACGAGATTTCTGTCCGATCTAAAAGCCTAAGATATTACGTTCACGTTAGCATTGTGTCAATACGGGCTTCTTTATTCATTATCCCACCAATTCAAAACAATGGGACTGAACAGCGTTAAAATATGGAAACGGAAACAAACTTCGAAATTTGTCCGCTGTGGAAAGAGGGATTTAATGACATCCCGTAACTCTTAGAGTTTCTAGTCAAAACCTACGCATGTCAGCCACAGGCTTTAGCGGGATCCCCGAAGCCACCGGCCCGGCAGCTCTATAATTATACGCAAGGGTACGAGCCGGATCTGACCTGCCGAAGGAAGGTGATCCACCTGCTTGAGCGAGTTGCTGTGCATTTCGCCGCGTGGGAGTATCTACAAAGTTCATTTGATATTGGGAATGGAGAGAGCTCCGTTGCTCTTGTGCGTGCTGCGATGTCCCTTTTTGGTACGTTGGTGAGAGGTTCGGCCTTTCAGCGTTGAAGGAACGAGTCGCTGGTCCCCCTTTCCCGGGTAGGATGAGACCACTAGGGTGTTGGGTATCAAAGTCCTAGAACCATTTTAGTGGTTGCAGCGATGCCAGCACTCCAATGTCCATCATGCTTACAGAAGCTATAGTTCCAAAATCGTCATACATTTCTAAGCGCTCGGTACCCATTTCACCTCCCATGGTAGGTTCCTGGTCTAAATTCATAAAACTAGCTGATAAAGGAAAGAGTTATAATAAAAAAACATTTTGAACTGGTCAGCAGGCTGTAGAACAGACCAGCGTCTAGAGAGATGTCAAGGTCCATGTCCCCAGTGAAATTGCCTTGCCGGGGATAGGCTGCATTGCGGTCGTACGAGTTTTGTCTCTCCGTAGCACCATGCCAGTAACTCTGACCTGGGCCGCTGCGCACAGAATATTCATACCTGGTCATGAACGTGTGCAAATTATCAATGATACAAACCCTTGCAAACCTCCCGTCGGATCAAGGGCGATACCGTCCCCGAGACCACCACGGGGTTTCCCATAGCTATCAAAATCTTGGCTCACTGATCGTCCACCTTCATGTCCAAACAAAGATTTGAATCTCTTCAATTCACTACCCCGCGGTGCTAGGGGCGAAGAGGAATCACCGATAGAAGACGCCGGCGTGGGAAAGGACCCGCTTCCTGAGTTACGCCATAGGCTTGTAGCCAGGAACGGATTTTCAGCAGTATCTTGAATTGGCTCACTATGCTGCAGCCTAGATTTTGTTCCGCGCTCTTGTGCAGGGGTTCGATAGACATTTTGCATTGGAGTGCTTGATGGCCACTGTGCCCTGGCGATGGATTTTCTGTCTCCTTCATTCTCCTTGGACGATGACGAACCTTTGAGTGGCCACATGTTAATTTAATGTTTAATCCATGCGTTGGTGAAGGGCTCGTCGGGTTAAAGATATCTGCGTAAGAAGGACCCTGGGAAAACTCAAGGACGACGATCGACATTGTTCAGCTAATCTCATTCTGCCTTATTTGGACAAATGAGATTAACACGTATAACGTAATCGGCGGAGACTGCGAAGATCGCGCAAGGCTGGTTACTGGAAACCAAACTTTTTTATTGAGTATTTCACGCACTTTACGTACAACATCGTAGGTTACAATACATTGCCATTTACATAGCATCCAATTACTTCACTAGTTTCACCCCACGCTAGTTTCATACCAAAGTACAAATCCCTCTAAGAGAAAATCACCATCCGGCAACGAAAATTACAGTAAGCAAAACAAGCACAAGGGTCACCTCAAGGTGCGGAGGAGCCTTGGAGCCAGCATCATTGGAGTTTGCACCAGCTACATTGCTGGTAGGTTCAGGAGTGAGAGTTGGCTGTTCGGTAACCGTGGCTGACGGCTCAAGAACTGCTGTCGGAAGCACCGTCAAAGGAATTGGCTTGTACGGGAGAGACTGTGTGCTGAGAGACACAGCAAAGTCTTGGCGAAGCATTTCTACAGCATTCAATATAGCGGTGACATTGGAGCTGCTTACAGGCAGCACGTTGACCAAATTCTGATATTCATTTCATTAGGAAACAAATCTGGCAAACCCAAGGGCGTGTGGGGGTACTTACGTGAATAGCTTCGTCTAATTTGAGAGGATTGATGTACAATTGGCCTTCGAGCAATCCAACCAAGGTGGTATAGGGGCCATGTGCCTTTCTCTTCCCGGCAAAGCGGGACGAGTTCCACGCTGCCTTGAGAGCATTAAGGTCGTCCTCGAAAGGAGGGTGTTGGATGCGAGGTTCTCGTCCTGGGGCTGGGGTAGGGCTAACAGTTGTCGACAGATGATGGGTCAAATGATGAGATGTGTGTTGCCCTGAAGGACTTTCGAGTTGGGCCATGCACGGGATAACGAGAAGGAGGAGAGCAATAATGAACCGCATGTTGAGATTTCAGATGCTTGCAAACGGTTAGAGTAGGAGGTCCTGGTAGTTCCGACAAATACTATTGCGCGGGAAGACAGAGGGGGGGCATCCTATCTTCCCTTTTTATGCACCTAGGCTTGGCGCCTACGCGCGTAAAACTGTTGCTGATGTAAAGGCTTGTTTGCGTAAATCGCGCGTTAAGCGCTGATGAAAGCACAACGAATTTCCAACAAACACGGTGGAATGCATCATCATCCCTGAAATCTGCGTGTAGCTTAGGTTAGCATAATAAGCCGTTTCCTGCCGACTGTATTACCACACCTGGTTGATGCAGATGCTGGCTCTACATGCAAAGTACCAGTGCTCACTTGTGCCGGGGAGTTTGGCAGAGGCAAACACCAAGCAAGAGTTGGAAAGAGGACAGCATTGGGACCGAAAGCCATCCAAATAGTTATGAAGGCAAAAATGTAAAATACCTTCCTAAGTTGTACAAGAATGTTATGGTTAACTCTAAATTCCAACCCCGATCACAACCCCGACCGCCATCCTAGCCTAACCCTAACGAACCCGTGATCAATGCGACAATGAATTGCTGGTCGTATATGTACAATGGGCTTCTTTTTATGATGGCAGTTGTTCAATCATGCAATTTGGTAACGCCGTATCATACGATCATACAACCTTCGATAGATATATTATTCCACGCAGATAACAATCATTACCCATCCCAAGCCAAAATCATCGAGATTCGATCACACCAACGCTTCCGCAACACTTTTCACTCGGCGGAACTCGTCCATAATAAGAACCGGGGCGGTTCCACCTTGCGCTTTTGTCCTCAGACTATTTAATTGCTATTGGCAGAAGTGCTAATAAATATCGATTCACAAAAGCACGCCAAAAGCAGGCCAGTAGATATTAGGGACACTTACATCCGTGGCGTCTTTTAACTTTTGACATTTCATGAAATCGGCGTTGGCGATGGAGCGTGCCAGCTCTTGTTCGAGTCTCGGCACCATGTCATCAACATAGCGTGTTACATCCGCAGTCTGCCCAACAGAGCCTTCACGGCTCCTTGAGGGTGGAGGCGGCGGGGCAGCACTGAACCTCCTAGCTGGGGGAGGTGGAGGCGGACGCTTACCAAGACCCGGGCTCGACACACCGACGCTTCCCCCGAACCCATTGGAAGTAGAATCTTGGGAAGCACCAGAGGGAAAGTGCCGAGGTGGCGGCAAATCTGTACGGAAGGTCCAACGCCCATCGGTCTCATACTGTGGACCTGAACTTGTCGTACTGGCCCTACGGTCCAAGCTTGAGATACTACTAGCTGAAAATGAGGGCTTTATGGGACCATTACGTGCTGCGGCAAAGCCCGAAGCTCCTAAGGTATTTGACGACCGAAGGCCACCTGACGGAGGTGGCGGTATTGGGCGATTTCCAGGTGCTGGTGGAGCAGGCGGTCTTTCAAACATGTCCTTCACATTGGTACGAGACGGCGGCGGTGGAGGCGGGGCCCTCGTCGATCCCCCGCCAGGGGGAGGTGGAGGAGCAGGTCTCCCGGGGGCCGCATTGGTTTTGGGAAATGTACTGACCCTAGACGCAGGTGCAAGTGGTTGAGGCGTTGGCGTAGCGGCACTGCGATTCGGCACCGGAGGTGGAGGGGTTCGTCCTGGCACCGGAGGTGGAACAGCCCGCGGCATAGGTGGCGAAGTTGGTTCAGACGATCGCGGAGGTGCTGGAGGTGGGGCGGCTGATCGGGCAGGGGCTGGCGGAGGAGTTGCTCTTGCCGGTGCAGGCGGCGGTGTGCCGCGCGCCGCAGGAGCTGGAGGTCTGCCGAATGCTCCAGGTAGTGTAGGGGAAGAAGGTCCAGATTTTGGCTTGGGTGGTATTGGTCTAGGTTCGGGAGCGGAATCTACCGGGAAACATCATCAGATGACGTCGATAACCAACATAACAGTCTTCCTCAATATACCTGCGCTTCCAGGTTTCAATCCGGTTGATCTCAGCTTTGGCATTCCTCCTGCAAATAAACCACCAAGTCCTGCTGGACCTCCCATAGGAGCTCCACCACCACCGCCACCACTGCCAGATCCTGCACCAGCGCCTGGTGGTCGGGGCATTGGCGGAGATCTGCCTCCTCCTGCTCCCGGACCTGGTTTCGGAGCTAGAATGAGACCAAATTATTAGCGTTGTGGCTTTCAGGAAACGACTTTGAAAGAACTAAAGTCTCAAGGAGTATGTATACGCAAAGATGGGCAAGCGTATCTTCGAATTGCCAGTACGTGATAGTACGCAATAATTGACAGCGAGTGAGCTGTACGTCGGTGACCAAGGGCTGGCATTTGTAATTATTCCCCCCTTCCTAAAGCTGAACGACGCCTGATAATCCCTAGAGATTCTCCCAGCCGTCCTGTTTCCCACCGTGCTCAACAGTGGTTTTCCATAACTTGCGAGGTTCACATACATACCATCCAAAAGAGGACCACTGCGGTCATTGGTTTGCACTTTTTTCAGTTTGGCTCCTTTCTGGATAGACTTTAAGAGTGCAGTGTTTGCTGGCGGAGCTGAAGTCGCAACGGGTGGGGGAGGTGGACCTGGCGGAGGAGGTGGAGGAGGGGCTGGCATAGTGTGGCAAGTACTAAGGATATCTGTCTGGGAATGTGCACAATATTATTGCTGACGATAGCGTATCCACTGCACGGACGTTTCTTGAATGAGCGCTTCAGGAGGAGAGTGCGATGAGAATGGCGTGAAAAGATTGGGGCAAGCTTGGCGAACCCAAACGTCAGCCTTGTTGTGAATATTCAATGCATGTCACGTGAATGCTTAGCATCTTCAGTTGCTTTCCCTTCCTTTGCGAGTTTGAGAAATCGGTCCGCTACTCACGACATCGGCCAGGTTCTCGTTCATTTTTTCGAAGGGAGGTCGAATAGGTGAGCATCTCTTTCATCCATCCATCCATCCATCATGCATTGTTGCGGTTTGGGGTGTTTGGCAGTGTCGACGGGAAGGGGAAGCGCATGGATTGATCCTGGTGACAGGAGACGAGAGACATGGGTAGAGGAAGTGGAATGGCACATTTGGAAATGGAGAACCCATGCTCGACTGGTTGTACTGCCCGATGTGTACAGACAAGAGACATGCCGGGAAGACGTGTGACAGGCCTACTGATAAACTGGCTGAGGACATGGCGTCAGTCGATCTGCAGAATGCAATTTGGCGGGGCGGCAAAGATTTGGTGGTGTCTAGAGTGGCCATTGCGAGGAGACTACACTGAATTGATGGACAGAGGGACAATGGGACAGAGGCTACTGCTGATGGACTAGCATAACGGTGCGGAACAATCACTGATTGGATTCTTCCGCATTTTCAGTAGGTCAAAATGGTTGCCCCTTTGGTCAAGCGCCCCATCATCAAGAAGCGCACAAAGAAGTTCAAGCGCCATCAATCTGACCGTTACAAGAAGATTGACGTACGTTCTTGTCGAAGCCAACCACTTCAATGTGATTGGAATCTAACCAGCGATTTGGATGCATATGATAGGAATCATGGAGGAAGCCCAAGGGTATTGATAACCGTGTGCGTAGGAGGTTCAAGGGCCAGATTCCCATGCCCAAGATTGGATATGGTTCCAACTCCAAGACCCGCCATCTCCTCCCCAACGGCTTCAAGAAGTTCCTTGTCAACAACGTGAACGACCTTGAGCTCCTCCTCATGCACAACCGTGTCTACGCAGCTGAGATTGCCCACAACGTCTCTGCAAAGAAGCGGGTTGCTATCGTCGAGCGCGCCGCTCAGTTGAACGTAAAGGTCACCAACGCCGCTGGTCGTCTGCGCACTGCTGTAAGTACCATAAACCTTTCACTTGGCGGCAATGCGTTAGATTTCTGATGGATGTTCTGTTTGCGATTCCTTTCTTGTCATAAATAGGAGAACGAATAAATGTCTCGCAATGTGTAATATATGCTTTTCTTTTTACTACTTATTTGCGGTCTGATGATTTTTGTGCTGAGTGGGGGTTTTCCCGTGTCCTCTATGGCGGGCAAAACGGTGTATGGGTTTTCAATTGGTGCTATTACGTTCCATTCTTAAGAGTTCAAATGGACACCAACTTATGCATCGGGCGCACAAAGAGATTTACGTTTGCATTGCTTTCATCGGTGATTATCGTCTGTGTTAGTGCGCGCACATCTGATACTTGGCCGACTGTGAATATCAGTCTCTCTGTGGACGATCCAACTCATGGCTTGGAGAGTAGATGACAAGGGTATCCAACTACATTATTGGTACACAGTGTGCTAGAGGATAGCGCACTTTGGCGCATAACGCAGTGGATTCGAGTTTATATTCAAACCCAATGTCTTAGGGCCATGATGCTGTCAAATCTACTTCTGTAAAGCCGCTCCCACTACTAATTATTCAAGTTAAACACCCAAAAAATAACTCCCTGCCCATAAAGATGTTCCTGAGATGTCTCTGCTGCGGATACAATGGACTATACTACTGTTCAGCTGCCCGAAGCTTTGCCCAAAGCACGTCCAAAACTATCACATCAACAGCACACACAATCATAACAACCGCCGACCACAGCCTCCAACGCCTGTATCTCTGGCGTGCTTGTTCAAGCTGATAATCGGTTACATGGATTGAAGTGGGTGGAGGGGGAGGTGGAGCGCGAGAGGGTGGTGGCGGGATGGAAGCGGGTGCATTATCTGGGGCCTTTCCTTTCCCTTTTGTGCTGCTTGGTGCGGAGTATTGCGGGTCTGGCTCAGTATTGGTTGAGATGGTAGTGTGACGGGGTTGGAAGAGACGTAGGATGGGACGGGGAAGTCTCATGTGTTATAGATCTCAACAAAGAAAGCCCAAATGAAGATGTTTCTGATCAATCACTAATGGTTGTTGCAAAAGTTGATGGGCCCGCCTGGAGTGCAGCAATATCTGTCGAGGCATAACATCTACTCATCTTACAAATAGATACCAAAGGCTTGGCAGTGACAATGGATGTGCTACCATCGTTCTATGAGAAGAATCAGTCGTCAAAGGCATAATGGCATTTTTGTAATGGTTGAGTTTTCTTTCATTTTGGTTAATCTGTCGGAATGTAGTTACATAATCACATTTGACTCGATCAGGTTGATCAACTTTGTCGTGAGATCGTTGCGCAAGTTATCTCGAATCTATACGAGCATTCGAGAGCTGTGGACATCTACTAGGCAAGAAGCTTGTTCCTGCTCGGTGTGTGCTTTTGACTTGCGCTTCACATAATTAACGTGCGTGAAAGATCAGGAAAATAGCTGTTTTATCAGCGGGGAAGACGCAGCCAGGGATAGCTTGGCGTGTATCAATGTCCGCCAGCATAGGTATAGGCAGAAGCCGAAAACGTATCCGCCAGCCGTTAGGTAATGCAGACTAACGTTCTGCTGCCGGGAAGCCAAGGTGTTGCCAGTGGGCTGAATATCCCGTAGACATCGATTGTCCTTAGCTTCACCTCCAACATACCCTGTTTGCACTGCACGCTCACATGGCCAACCTCGTTGTAGTTTGTTGGTAGCAAACTCTTCAGGTCCTTGGTCTAATTGCAACCTTGCCTGTCGATATAAACAATGGATGTCCTAAGGAAGATTTGAATCAAAGCCGTCTTGGCTGCAGACTCCCACTGTTGGTTTGCCTGACAGAACTTTTTCATAACTTTTGTCTTCGCATGCTTTTTTCAGACCAATTTGTTGGGACGGACACCAGCAGGCGTCTGTCGACACAATTTCCTGCTGGCCAGTTTTCCAAAACAGCTTTCATGCATTGTGACCTCCTGGGAGTGGAAAGCCCATTTCCACTCACAATCGGAGATAATCTTCTTCAGAATCCGAAGAGGACGTGAATTTGTTCAGAGCGAAGGAGTAAGTTGCCTATGCCACGCGGCAGAGTGGGTAAGACGTCAAAAAGGCGCAGGAAGATATCTTTCTTCCTGCACGAAACAGGCAATAGAGTTTGTATCGAAACGTACGTAGTGCGGCTGGGCAAATGTCCCACGGAGCATGGTGTGCGAGCGCAACGAGCGACCTCGTTCAAACCGTTTGCTGCTTTCCTGTGCATCTTCATTCTTAGCTTCACTACAGCAGCCACCACAAATGGGTTGATTCATATCGCAATGGACAATGTGTACCTGATCTGCACGCATGAAATTTTCGTATGTATAGAAGATTACGGGACATGTTTTCAAATAGTTCACAAGCACAAAATGAACTTGGAGATAGCTCAATTCTCAGCTCCACCGTTGAGAAACGCATTATGATGAAGGCGATCTGGAAAGTACACTGAAAACCAGCGCCACCTCGAACGACCAAAATTGCAAGCACAAAGGTTCACGCAGCAAGCTCATCCCTTATCGATCCCTCGAGATTTCATCCGGCTCTTCCATGCGTCCGACATACGCACATTGCTCAAAGAGCACCACTTGCCACGCCTAACAACCAACCAATTCAGCAGTCCTTTTAGTCACACTCGTATCCAACCCACCAATAACAAGCAAAGCAGGACAATGCAAATCACCAACAGCCAGGTTTGCTCGGCTTTTGGGCCAAATGATTGGAATCATTTCGCGAACTTTAGCCCCACATGACCGCTTCGGCCGGCTGGTTGTCCGACTCCATCCGCCCATTTTCCCCAATATAGATCACTATACTTAAAGGAACATATAGCATGATAGGTACAATTATGCGTCGCCATGGCGGAAGGATTCGATATTCGAAAGCGGAATGTTCCGTTCAAGTGTTCTATGGCAGTAATCTATTATGGTATAAAGCACACGACCCAACAGACTCCGGCTTTTAGCCGCGGCTCTTGTGGTTCAAAAAAATCACGGCTTACCCCATTGCCATCACTTGCCCGAGGCTACAAAAAGCAGCACCCTCCCTTCCCAAACCAATAACGACCAACAACGGTTCTCACTTGATGCCCAGACTGTACGAGTACGTCAATTATCGAACCGGTCAAGTATGGTCCCGAGACATATCATATCTCTCTTTTTTCTTGATTCTGCTGGTCATGTTGTCGCTTCACGTGCTGGTGTCAATGTGGATGTGGGGTCTCCTGTAATCGACGATCAGACGAGCACAATAATTGGCCCGCAGACAACCGAACCCTTGATCTACCAAACCACCGTGGTCGTCGTGGGATGATGGGCATGATGTTGGATTTGCCATCATGGGTGTTGAATGGCTATATGGACATTCCGGGGGAACCTATTGGGAATGCCTGCTTCACGGGATACACCCCGCTCTGTGGATCTTCTTTTTGCGTTGCCCTGTTGGAAGGCTTTGACGTTTGCCATCAAGACGATCAGTGCGGCGGTTACAGCCTTTTTGGATGAGCATTTCAGTACGGCCGGGCAATGGCGATAGCCCATCCACTGAAGGTGTTTTATAAACTCACAAAAATAGGTTGTAACGAAATTTAACAGTAGCATAGTAGTCTGTACCTAATAAAATTGCCATATTTACGTATTGGAAGAGAATGTCGCGAGTGATGAAGGAAAGTATCGTTAGGAGTTGAACGGAGGACCAGAACTTTTCAAGCAATGCAGGGCAACTGCCCGTCGAAAGTCTGGGCATCTTCGTGTGTTTTCTTCCGTTTTGGACAATAGCACATCCTTGAGCCTGATCTTTGCACCAAGAGCGTCAAGAATACTGTGCTCATATCAGAATTGGATCAGCGGTCACTGATTGTCATCAGTTCTTAAGACATATAGTAATTCCCATACAGGCTTCGTCCTACTTGCGTCCGCCTTACTGAGGGACTAGGTCATAGGTACTGCCGTATCACCCAAGTCACTAGATAGAGTTACCTCCCACTGCAGCACTTCAGCTCTTGCCCAGTGGATGGTTTACATGCGGCATACACTTTGAATGTAACGGCTTTAAGACCGGTTTCTAGGCAGGTCTTTAGCAAGTCTCAAGCGTATCGGAAATCCACCTCCATGGCGAGACAGCACATCACGTGCATTCACAGGGTCTCTTGGTTTATGTGAAGTGTGGGGGGGGGGGGGGGGGGGTTCCCGCATAGCACAACTTCAAAAGCATGTGGCAAGTTGCCAGTCTTTAAACTGCTTTCAAAACAGCCTGGCAAACACACATGGCCACCATACTTACACCACCAGACGCTTTTGGCATCGTGGAACGAGGGGTATACCGCTCAAGTACGCTTCACCCCACAAACTTTTCATATATTCGGACGCTGGGTCTTCGAAGTGTGGTGGTTTTGACGCCCGATGTGCCTTCAAAGGGCGTACAGGCTTTTTATGAGGACTGTGGGACGCGGCTGGTGAGGCGCCAGATAAAAGTCCTTGACTTGATAACGAGTCTTACGCGGTGCATGCATAGATCCACCTCGGTCTGCAAACTTGGCGCCCAAACCTAGGTTGGAGACCTGTTAGCGAGGAACTGATCAAGGAAGGACTCGAACTCGTGCTTAATGTAAACAATCATCCCGTCATGGTTATGTGCACGTATGTAAGTCCTCTGTTGAGTCCATCAATGAAACTCCTTGCTGGAGTGCTAATAAATGATTTGTTATAGATCGGGCATACATGATACAGGAACCTTCATAGGTTGCTTGCGCAAATTGCAAGGATGGAACTTCAACTCGATCATCGTTGAGGTTAGTCACGCGCAATGTCATACACCAATTCAGAGACGTAATATATCAGGGCTTGCAGTATCGCAGCTATGCTGGGAGTAAAGCTCGATACGTAAACGAACAATTCATTGAATTGTTTGATATGGATTTGGTGACTCTGCCAAGAGATCTACCGTCTTGGTTTCTCTATCAACAAAAGTTACTGGTATGTCAATGATGAACACAGGTGATTTATCTCGAAATGATCAACTAAATGCGCCCGTGCTCTGTATACAGCAGGAGGAAGAAGAAGAATTCGAGAGGAAGAAAGCCGGGAGGCAGACGCCAATATCCCGCTCACCAATACTTGCGCAAGCGTTGATCTCCTCTCCCACTTCAAACACAATTGAAACGAATGCTTGAAAAATCAAATATCAGATTTGTACATAAAGTTTGGCAATCCTGCCTGTCCTACTGTAAAAGAATACACAATAAACTCATATATGAAGAGGTATCACCACCAGCCCTTCCAGTCAAAGACCTAATTTCTTTCTTCGCGCTGCGACCATGACCGTAGCGACGAGGTATCCGCCCCAAACCCGCCGACGTCCCGAATCATGTTGCGGTCACTCCATGGAGGAACTCGGTTATTTAGACCATTCTCCTTGTGCCATTGTCGTGTCGGTGTTGTTGACGAAGACATGTTCCCGTCAAATGAGGTACTCAATTCATCAAGTAGGGTGAATCGCGAAAGAAGATAACGCGAATCGGCGTCGAGGTCCATTTGCGTTGACGAATCCGAAGAATCGCTCACGCCTGCACAATCAAAATCCAGGTCCATCTCAAGCGCGGGATCCAACACATCGAGATCACTTATATCCACCATATTGTCAGACCACCAAGAAAGAGTGCTCAAATCTGCAGTCTGGATGCCCTTGTCCTGTCCGCTGACTTTGCCCGACGCCAGTGAAAATGACGTGATGTCCATGCCCATTACTTCTTTTTGCTTCTTACTGGCATTCCCGTCCGCATCCGCAACGGAGCACTCGTACGACGGCAACGGCTCGTCAATGGGGCCATGAGAACCGAATATCTCCTTGTAGTCCTCCGTCAGCGGTCTATCTTCAGTTTGTCCAGCACTACACACGCTCCAGCTCAATAGAGGAGACGGCGGTGCAGAGTCATCATACCGTACAGCCTCGGAATCTGCGTATGACAATAAAGTGTCAGGATTTGAATCTGAATTTTCCAGCTCCCACTGTGTGGCAGCGACAGACTCCTTCGTGTTCACGTCCAAGTAGGGTGGAAGGGGTTCGTTGGTCTCGCCAGGTCCCAGCATGGGTCTGTATGGAGGAGCATGGGTATCGGTGTTTGAGGGGGGAATAGGGAGCGCAGCAAGGGCGATAGTTGACGATCCTGCGGCTGATGGGCGACAGTTAAGGGCGTATCCGAGGATGCTATGAGGGGTATCTGACAGACGTGAGGGAAGGTTTGAAGATTTTTGGTCACGGTACGGTGGCAGCGGCTCCGCTTCCTCTGGCATCGCTGCTAGTCCTGAAAGGTAGTCCTTCATAAACAATTCGTCCTTCTCGTCCACCGACGTCAAAGGAGGGTCAACGTCTGCATCAGTAAAGTCACAGGAATCGTCGGCACCGGACGCTTCGGAATGAGAATCACACGTATTTGATGAGGAATTGGCGACGTCAGTCTCGACCTTGAAGGCGTCACCGGGCTGCCCTTCATCAATCCTCAACAGCAATTCGACAAATTCCCCGTGAGTAACATTGCCATCACATACTAGCTGGCTTTTTTTATCCCTGAACTTTTGTCTCAGTTCAGTTGAGAGCCACACGGTCCAGCCAGAGCCACGCGGTGCTAACCGTCGAGCTTGGTCAACAAATGACGGTGGAATAGAGCAACCATGCGCTGGAGATGGGAGGAGGTCAAGAAGGTGGGAAAGGTAAGAGTCGTACGGCTCTTGAAAGCGAGCACGGTGTTCCTAGAAAAAAAAACGTCAACATGCAGCTGTGCGGCAGGTGCGAAGTTGTTACGCTTACTGTTGGCAATTTGAGACTATGTCTTGTTCCTTTTCTGGAGTCTTCATACCGTTTATCCCACGCTTCCTTGCGCATGTCCTTGCGCCGAAGACCTTGTGGGCGGGTGGATGACGAAGACCTGACGTTGAAATTCACTTCCATCGTTGAGGAAATCTGCTGCCGCTAATGTTGATAAGTTTTGGAGAGTTTGTAATAGTTGGTGGGCAGTGGTGACCTCGATATTTCCGCCATGTTTTGGTGGCACAGTCATAAACTTGCAGTTTTACGGACCTGATACTTTGCAACTTCCTGTAATGGACTTTGATTGCCCTTCCGTCAAGCTACCGGCTCAAAACAGCAATGTGTGAGCGACCTCAAAATATTTATAAAACACACATTGATTGAGATGGCAGAAGCAGCCGGAAAGTTAAAGCCTATGCCTTCCTGGCTGCGGTTTGAAGTTCGTGGTCGCAGATTATGTAAGCTTGACGCGGCCACTGGAAATAACTGATCTCAACTAGTAGCCATTAGTCGCCCACCTTCTCCAGTAGATATCTCGTTTCAAGATGGTAATTCACAAGCATCCACACGTTATGTTTTGCCTATCTACAAGATAACCAATTGGCGGGGTAGATGTTATCACGAGTTAAACCCGCCGTCAGTACGGGACCGGGGGGGACAGCAGGCGGCATCGTAAACATTGACAAGAAAAAGAAAGCGCCAAAACTGGAAGATTTTGTTGAGAGTAGAGACTTCACAGGAGCGATTACCCTTTTGGAGGTAGGATTGCAACTATCGTGGTTAATTGCAGCGAATGTGGAGCCAAACCATCTTCTGCGGAACAGTTCAACGCAGCGGCTGGAAAACAAGATCAAGATACGTTGGCATGGCTTGGATATGCCGCGTTTCATTTGAGTGATTATAAAAAGGCCATGGAGGTGGGTTCTCTCGATCTTTAAACTGTATCGATCAGTGCGGCCGTCTCTGACATGGATCAACGCCTTGGAAGGAAGACGTACCAAGCAATGTTGCAAGACCCGAAATGTGATCCTTTGGTGCATCTTTATCTCGGATGTTGCTATTTCTTCTTGGGAATGTATAGGGAGGCAGACGAGGAGGCTCAGAAAGGTGAGGTGAATGAAAAGGTCAATGACCATGACGGTGTGCTAACTGGAGGATGCTGCAGGACCTACCTGCAAATTACAGAACAGACTTCTTTTTCACCTATCCCACAAATTTAATGACGAGAAACGCTTGATGGGGTACCATCAGAATCTTCAGGATGTGATTGAGGATCAGGTAAATGCAATCTACCTGGAACTCGAACGCGCACTTGATGAACCTCAACTCCCGACAGCTGAGCTTGGCGTCTATCCATTACCTTCGAAGCCACTACCAAGAAGCGATAGATATTTACAAGCGGATACTGGTTGAGCATCGGTAACGGTTGATGTTTCTCTTCGGCCGATCCAGTGCAGTGGTCAAACTTAACCGCCATCTCATAATTTCAGAGAATATCTGGCCATAAACGTCTACATTGCCATGTGCTACTACAAGCTTGACTACTACGACGTCTCGCAGGAAGTCCTATCTGTCTACCTGCAACAGTATCCGGACAGCGTGGTTGCCATCAACCTCAAAGCGTGCAATCATTTCCGACTGTACAATGGAAAGGCCGCAGAACAAGAATTCAAAGCAATGACCGAGAAAATGTCACCCCATTTCCACTTTGCAGAGGATCTGATAAAGCATAATTTGGTACTAAGGGAATGCGCTGGTGATTTGAATGATAGGCAACATCTGACTAGAGTCATGATAGGTTGTCTTTCGAAATGGTGAAGGTGCCCTGCAGGTTTTTCCACCTCTTCTGGACGTTATTCCCGAAGCTAGATTGAATCTCGTAATATACCACTTGCGAAATAACGACATCATCGCCGCTTTCAATCTAATGAAGGATGTCGAGCCATCCACACCCCAGGTACCTGTCGTCTAGATCGGAATATTGTAACGTTGCTTATCCACCAGGATAGGAATACATCCTGAAAGGGATCGTCAATGCGGCACTCGGCCAAGAACAAGAATCTCGAGAGCATCTCAAAATTGCACAGCAATACTTTCAACTGGTGGGAGGATCGGCGAGCGAGTGTGACACAATACCCGGGAGGCAGTGCATGGCTTCTTGCTTCTTTTTGCTGAAGCAGTTTGAGGATGTTTTGATATATTTGAATTCCATCAAGGTATTTGTTCACGGTAGTTTTCATTGTAACTGCATTCTGTAGTAACACTGAAAGGATAGGGATACTTTTACAATGACGATACCTTTAATTACAACTATGCACAAGCCAAAGTGGCAACTGGAGCGTACGAGGAAGCTGAAGAGATACTGTTGACAATACAAAATGAGAAGTGCAAAAATGACTATGCATATTTGAGCCATTTAGCGCGATGCTGTGAGTGGACAGTTCGATTGGACGCAACAGGGTATAGATAATGTATCTAACGTTGTTCTTACCATACAGATGTCATGAACAAGAAACCTCGACTTGCCTGGGAACTATACCTCAAAATGGAGACTTCAAGTGAATCCTTCAGTCTACTTCAACTCATAGCCAACGATTGCTACAAGGTAATAGTCTTTACATTGCCTACTTTCAACCTCTTTCATCTCCTTACCCGATTGCACCAAAGATGACCCAATATTACTACTCAGCGAAAGCATTCGACGTATTAGAACGCCTCGACCCCAACCCGGAATATTGGGATGGAAAACGAGGCGCTTGCATAGGCGTATTCAAGCAAGTAGTGCAAGGGGAAGAACCAAAAGAGTTGCTACGGGATGTAGTTACAATGTTGAGAAATACGGCCAATCCGCAGGTGGAATATATCATTAGGATTGTCAAGAAGGTACGCTTTCCGATTGTCCTTGTCGATGATTTTGTTTGCTGACACGTCGCCGTAGTATGCAAAAGATAATCGGATACCATTGTGAGCTGTGCAAGTTAGTACAATAGTGGAAAGTTGCATGTCCGTTCTTTGTATACACAATTTGGGTGTAACTGTTCAGTGTCGTGGCATTGTAAAAACGCAGACATCAAGCTATAACTTCTCTAGCAGTTAGCGTCCTTCTTACACATCCTCCTTACACAGAGTTTGGACTGCTAGTGTATTGTATCATCGAAATCATGCAACAGCGAATAGATGGAATGATGGAAGGTGGACAGGAAGAAATCACACTCTTCAAATGCACTACCAGACACGTCTGTGGCTTGGCACTTGTGGCTTTGGCCAGCATGAATGGGACTCTCCACAAACCAGCTCGACTATTGGAGATCAGGCAGCGATTGCATTCTCCTTCTAACAAAACCCCTTTGACCGTACCAACAAAGCCTAATATCAAGATTGAGCAACCAGTGAACGGGAATCCATTTCAAAATGACGTCCACCTATGAAGACATTTTCGGAGGGTCTGAGAGTGAGCTCGATGAGCTGGAGGACGTTCTATCCGATGACGAGGAGCGACAAGCGTCGGCGAACGAAAGTGCCGATGAATACGAATCCCCTGTAAAACTCCCATCCTTTAAAAAGAAAGACAGTGCACAAGTTGAACTTCCCGAAGAGTTGAAACGACGAGCACCCAAAAAACGGAAAACACCATCCAAACGGGGCCGTGGAACTGTGGAAAGACAGCCACATGATTCGGAAGAAGAGGCACCGCGAGAGCGTTCGCTGAGTCCGGATGCTTTGAAGCGATTAGAAGCGTCAATGGATGTTGAGGAAGCATTGAAGAAGACGAGGACCAAACGACCAAAGCAAGATTTACCTGATGAGGCGGAAATGGATGAGCGGATGGTCAAATTGCTCACAGACATGAAGAGAGCGGCACAACAGGACGGAGAGTTGAATAAAAGTAATCACCCTGCTATCGAAAAGCTGAAAATGCTGCCAAGAGTCATGAACCTGCTGCAAAGGGAGCAGTTGTATGAGCAATTTTTGGAGAACAACGTTTTGGAGGGCATGAAACTCTGGTACGTGGGATTGGAGGCTACTGGTCGTTATCTGAGAAACGAGTCATGCTCAACCACTGGTTCGCAGGCTGGAACCATTACCCGACGCCTCACTACCGAGTCTTGACATTCAAAGAAACATTTTCGAAACTTTGACCAGAGTATGTCGAATATGTAGTCATCGCGCCGACTTGGGATCTATGGCCTAAACAATTTCCATGATGCTGGTCATTGATAGATGCCAATTAGAACATCGCATCTCCGTGACAGCCTGATCGGTCGCATTGTAAATTTCTATTCAAAATGCGAACGGGTTCCGCCAGAAATAAAGAAGACTGCCGCACAGCTAGTTGGTAGGTGGAATGTATAGTTACGATGGCATGTGCCCCTTGCTCAACTCAATCGTCCTTAATAGACAAATGGATGCGCCCCATCCTGCACCGCAGCGCCAGCTACCGTGACCACAAAATTGTGGTAGCATCAGTCGACCCTACCGAGCGACCCATTAAGAGATCGGCGCGACCCTCTATTGCCAAGCCAGGCGGCAAGGATGAGGATAGCTCAATGCGCGCCCGGATCCCACAACGGGTCGCACCCGCCTTTACTGTCATGCCAGCGTCGAATGTTGTTGTGTCAGGGTTATCCTCAGAAAGCAGAAATAAACAGGTGGGTAGCCTTAATGCAATTTAGACACAATAGTATCCGTTCAGATACTCACGTGGTTTGCAGATGTTGCAAAACGACAAATATAGGCGTATGCAACAGCGAATGAAATTGATGAAGAGTGCGGGAAAAGTCAAAGGGCGATGATACTATTTGATAAACTTTGTCCATCGTTGTGGCGTCTTTGCACCTTTGTGCGTTTGGGGGTTACGAGTAGAAGCTTGATAACTACCTTGCGTTGTTTCCCTATTTAATTAAAAAACGTGGGTGTGCAATCTTCTAGAGTGCTGTCACGTGAACATGAAGTAATCGTCGGAGTTTGGAATGCACACCGTCTAGGAACCCCATGGGACCTGTGACAGGTTGTGTAGTATTTTCAAACGTATCTTGATTACTTCTGCGAATCTTTTGCAGTGCGGCAAGTGGGTTCAGATCACTTCAAGGATATTTCTCCGCAATCAAGAAGATCTGGACCTTATTTTGCAAGTTCCACAGTCCTGTTGCTCTTGGCGGTAAGCCGTTGCCGTACAATCGACTTGGTACGATCAAACCCCACAGTATCCCCATAGTCTCCCGAAGTTTATGTGGCTGAAAAATCCTCCGAATCGGCGAGCCATGTCATGCGATGTCATGTAGCTCCGGTTACTATTTTCACTTGCACCCTCGTTCGTATCCTTCTATCTAAACTGGCGCTCAAAATAGTAACTTCCGGATATGTGTTGTACGCAGGTCATGGATGTTTACCAAGCAAATAATGCGTTATTCGGAGGAAGAAACAATCCAAGGAAAGGCGGATCTGGTGTTAAAAGTTGGAACCTGGATACGGCCGAGGACCAATACTTATTTTTAGAATCCAAACAACTTCCAACTTGGCCAATTTTTGGTAATTTCGGCATATGGTTAGATATCGGCAATATTGCAGTTCTTGAGGGAGCCTGGGTCATATCTCCTCGTGTGTTGACGAGAGCTCCCAAATAAGTTCCAAGTTGAACAAAAACAAGCGACATACCCCCGCATTATTCCCCGCATTATTCCCCATTTATATTCTGGTTGGTCGGCACGCTGCTTGCAAATCTTCGAAGGGAAACACACGAAAACATGGGCTACAGAAAGACCAAAAAGCTAAAGGCTAATCCTGCCCACCTGTTCTTGCAAGCTCCATCAATGCACGGGCAAGGCGGGAGCGTGGATGATGATCCAGCTCGTAGTATTGATTCACCGCTGGATGCAACGATTGTGGAAACCGAATACCCTACAGAGGAGGAGCGGGCTTTTGAACATGGGCACGGCCAATTTGGACATGGAGCGGATTCTGGGTTCATGCATAGACAGTTTGCGTCGTCATCGACATATCCCCTACCTCCGTACGGAGGACCGTTTTACTTTCACGGGCCTACTCCGCCGGCAATGCCTTATACGAGCTACTGGGAGCCAGGTGTGCCTGTTATTGGACCAGGAGCAGCATACGGTCAAGATCACCTCCCACCTACCATCCAGGTCTCCCTCACGAGTCCGATATCCCGATCCGCGAGCGATCCGAGCGTTTCGGACGGCTCTCGCAAAGGATCGCTAGCCATTACCACTGATATGTTTTCCTCGCTGGCCGTGGACATCAAGGACCGTCCGGCGTCACATGCCACTTTAGGACGACCTTCTCGGCGTGGTTCGTTTGGACACTCCGCAGGGCATCCGGTACACGTGCCGGGAAGGTTGTCGTATTACACCCCTAAACAGCCCAATTTCTCACCTCAAGAACATGTGGATGAGTCTGGAGATGCGGGGTGGTGTTATGTTCCGCAGGGCTATTATCCAGTACTAGTCCCTGCGCATGTACCGGCGAACGCAGAGGTGTTGACTGGTTTGCAACAAATGGGAGGCATCTTACCGAGACTGTCGTCCCGACCTTATGATACCAGCTTTCAGGTAGAGTACATAATTGTCCCTGCTCAGTGGGCTTGACTCACTAATGATTGTATAGACCCCTGCTTCCTCAACCCAACCTGAGATGTCCAATGTGAAAAGCTACAACCTTCAAAAACCAAAGAAAGCCCCGCGACCCGCCAATTCGTTCATAATATACCGAAGGGAAAAGCAAGACGAAGTAATGCGGGCCAACGAAGGAATCACCAACAACGAGGTAGAGTACTGTGCCTCTTTGATATCCACGCTTCCAGCATTATTAAACCCTTGTCAAACAGGCTTCCCGCCTCATTGGCCAAATGTGGGCCAACGAACCGGCCGAAGTCAAAGAAATCTACAAACGCAAAGCCGAAGATGCCAAACGCCTACACAACATTACCTTCCCTGACTACAAATACGCCCCACGCAAACCCTCAAAAACGCGAAAAGTCGAGACAACCACCAACAAGAAGCGAAGTTTTTCGGAAGGTATGGATGAACCCTCTGGAAGTTTTAGTACCACTCAAGGGAGTACGGGGAGTTTGGTCGATAGTTCTACACCTGCTTCTCCAATGTTGAGCCGCGACGAGGAATCCAATACAGTACGGCACCCAAAAACATGGGTCGCGCACAACCCGTCTCACCCCAAATGGACACCTATACCAATCTTCCACATGGGCCCCTCCCCCTCGCAACCCGATATCCCCCAACATACCTACGTCCCCTGGCAAGCCCCCGAGAACCCACACCTAACGCCACCCATCTACGAATACCCTTCCCAGACCTCATTGCATTCGACACAGGATTTGTCGTTTGGGAACGAGCAAAGATCGAATTCGGCACCGCCGGGACAGGCTCAAATGTTTGGGCAGCAGGTGCAGGGGAGCGTAGAGGAGCCGGCGGCTTCGACGTCCGCGCCGGTGTGGCTGCATCCCGCTCAATGAGACGGATTTATACCGTTTAATCTCTTCTAGTTGGTTTCCTGTAAAGCTTGAATGTTTTGGACGATTTTAGTTCTTTTCACGGAGATGTAGATCGTTGCGTTTTCGTTTTTTCTTTTTTTGGTTCCACCTCTTAATATTCCGCAAAAACTATTGTAATATAGAGTCCTATACGTTTACCACGTTTATTTTGGCTGCATGCTTGCCTCAGCTACTTCCGGATGAAATGGTGATGCACAATGTGCTGTCGTTCTGCTTACTCTTGTATTGTTTCCAACCTCGTCGATCGGAGCCGCTTATGTCAGCGAAGCGGCATTTATGCGGGCTGTTACCATGGCATTCTAACTCGCCCATTCCACCGCCAAGCACAATACTGTGGCCGTATCAGCAACAACCAGAAACACATGCGATCACCACGTATCCCCGTAACCTCGTTCCGTCCCGTCCGCCCAACGGGGCTCTTTGTTCTCCGAGCACGGCCCCATTCTACTAGTATCCCATACCGCGTGCGTCGAGTCTCGCCGTCATGGATGGCAATGGGTGTTGGTGCTGGCGTGGGTGTTGGAATGTGCCTGCTGGGGTGGCCGGGTGTAGTGCTTGCAGAGAAACTTGAGCTTGACGATAACGTGGTGCTGGGTATGTACAATGTTCATATTTAAATTCCAGCCCTGACGCAAAAGAGTACAGAGCCCGCATCCAAGAAGCATGTGCCAAAAACCCTTGTCCTAACGTATGCCACACCCCCGAAACCCCACACACTCCATCTCCTCGGGCTCGGCATCCGACAGGTTCGTAACCGTACATTTTACACTGCGCATACATAGCTAATAGGGCGGAATAGGTGACTTTTTTAAACATCAATGTATATACGATCGGTTTTTACGTGGGCCGGGAAGCGCTGGACCGGGTTCGGATGGGTGAGGTTTGGAAAGGATTTGAAGGGAAGGCACTTGAGGGATTTGTTGAGAAACTTGTTGAGGGGGATGTGGCTGTGAGGATTGGTGAGTTGCTTTTTGAATAGGCCCAGCAAAGGAGCTACTCGCAGAATACGGAAATCGAAATTTACCTATCTTGCAGAACCTGTTCGAGACACGGACGGCCCACATCTTCGAAATGGCCTCATGCGCATGCTCACATCCCGTCTCACGACCTCCTCACTCAACGAACGCCAAAAACAAGAAATCCTAGCCCACATGGACAATTTCCGCGCCGCATTTCCTAGCGGACGCATACGCAAAGGCGAGGAATTTATTTTCGTCAAGACAAAAGAAGGGCTACGTGTTTTCTTTGAGGTACGTTACGGGAAATGGTTTATAATTGTGTATACGACTCACTGTTGTGTAGGGAACGGAATTGGTTTTGATTCCCTCCCCATGGATCGCCCAAATGTTTATGGAGGGATATTTGAGAGAAAAGAAGGCAATTTCACCAAAGGTATGTGTAGTGGATGTTCCGTTTACCACTGGGTGAGCTCATGTTTCGGTATAGTTGCGACAGAGTATTTCGCAAGGGTTGGAAGACCTTGTGACGGTGAAGGTTGCGAATTGACGTTATCCACATGTAGGGAAAGCATTTTGGAAGAGGAACGTTGTGAATATATTATACGCCTAATAATGGTTTGGAGGCGCATCAAAACCGCTATTGCCGATTGATACCCTGCTTGTGCGCGACAGATATCAAGCTTGTCACATCTGCAGACGACTTGTTCAACTGCCCTCTCAACCGCAGAGGGCGCATCAGGGCATGCATCGTAATCATTTCTCCGGTGTCCCGATTCCGGATGGTGTCCATTCCGTACAAGGCATTTCAACACGTTGTTTCCTCCCTGCATCAGCAACCCTGTCCGCTTTTGCCATCTCACACATTTTACTTCTTAAAGTTTCCCCTACCGTCCTACGATGCCCGCACACTGCCCTCCATAACAAACTTTTCAACAAAAGCACAGGCATCCCGAATTCGTAGCATACATCGTCCACATCCACGCCCTCGTTAACGGGATCCACCAAAACGCGTATCCACGCTTCCTGTTCGTTTTAGTCGACGCGCTATACATCCTTGGAGTGCCCAAGTGAAAAGGTGCGCTCCAATACTTGCGCACGGTGTACTTCCATTACGGGACACATGTGTTTCGTTTTTCGTCTTCGGTGGGGATCCAGGGGATGTAAGAGCAGGGTGTGTACAGAGTAGGTGGTGAGGGCGGTGCTTTGGGGAGGCTACGTAGACTGGGACGATCCCAGGTATCACACTGATTACGTTAAGCACCTGTTCAGAAACTCACATCATTCATATTCTTTTTATATTGTTTTTTACAGTTATTTTTGTGAATATGTTTCGTAAGTTATCTAAAAACCTATTTTTATCGAGTCGGCATCGTAGGAAACTATAAGGGTATCCAATGTCCATACATGGTCCAGCAACCTATCCCCACAATTACTTGGCACTATACCTCCTCCAAGTCCTCCACTCCCGATCCCTCTCCGCTGTAACAGCCAACCACATTGCAATTTTCTCCCACATGATTTCCGCATGGACGCCTCCCAAAATGTCCACATGCCCGTACGAGTAACCCGGCTCGATTGCGTAGTGACGCAGGTGGTTGGGTGGAGGTGGAGTCTTGAGGGTTTGGAGATTGGATGAAGAGTAGGATTTCGCAGGACGGGGCAGGGTATGATGCGTTGGAGTGGTAGTGGTAGGTGCGAATCGTACTGTTTTAGAAGGAGATTGGATATGCGCATGGCCGTCAGCGAGGGTCTCAAAGACTTGATCTACATTCTTACGAATCCCCTCGTATATTTCCCGTCGACGTTCCTTTGCAATTTCGTCCTCTTCGTAGCGAATCACATCTTTCCATTTGCTCCCGCTGCGCTGGTAGCCTGCCATAGTGTCTTTGACGCGTATCACGCCATCCGCGTTGGCATAGCAGAAAAAGAGGGGGAGATGCTCGAGAAGTTCAAACTTGGAGAGGTAAGGAGAGAGCTCGTTCCAGGTGGACCAGTGCGGGGTGGGCGGAGCCGGGTGTTGAATCGTTGTCGGTGAGGGGGGTATCGGTGGCGGGGTAAAGTGAACGCGCAGTTGGGATTTGGAGCGTTTTCTTGAGGGTGTGGCGGTTGACGCCGATGCAACGGGTGGCTCGGCGGCTTGGGAGATGTGCTGTAAATCTTCAGTGACGACATCTGTACGATGACTTGAGCTCGACATGACCCAATTATTGTCTATGAAGTGTACAGGGTGCATTAGCTCGCATCCCGCATAAGATCAACAGGTCACTTACAATATTCATGATGGATTGCCATCTGTGTGATACTCAAATATACTCCAATTGACGGACTTTCCACGGACGTGTCCATAAGACCCCACGGGTCCTCGACACTGTTGGGAACCCAAGGAGAGGGATAGACAGCATTCATGATGGCGTTTTCAATCCTTGATGGAACAAATTGGCGAAGAAATAGGACGGCATTAAGGGCAGAGCGAAGAGGTATAGGTTGGCGTTTTATGTGAGTTAGAAACTGGCGCATGTAGGTGAGGAGGTGGTGTTTGGAGGAAGGCGGTAGAGGCGCTTTGGGTATGATGAGGTCAGTGCTGGTGTTCGGAGAGGCATCTGCGATGAGGTTTGGGTCACTGTCCAGAGTGGGAGGCAGGTGATTGACGTCGTGGGCGGGAGGGCATCGCCCACTCGGCCTCGTGATTTCCTACAGCCGCCTGGATGAGCATCCTTATCACTCGTGCTCCAGTGAGGCTATTGACGTACCTTCGAGGCTGTCAGCTTTCCCGACCACCTGAAAAAGGTTGGCGCTAAGATGATCGCCTTGACGGGACTTGGACAAAAGGCTTTATAAAGCTCAATGATTTCGCTAAGTCCTGGGATGGTATAGTGGTATAGCCCTGCTAGATGAACGACTCCGGCAACGTCATTTGGGTTGAGTCCAGCAACAGCACAAGAGAGCGCTCCTCCCATACTGCAAAGGACAAGTTCATTAAAGGTTCACCCAGAGTGGCCACCGCTCCCTAACACACAGTGGGTGTTCTCACCTATGCCCGATCAAATACACTTTTTCGTAACTTCCGACCTTTTTGACGACCGATATCGCACTAGGTATGTCGACCTCGACGTATTCCTTCATGCTTGCTGGACGCGTACTGCCGAGTTTGAGGGATTCTGATGTGCCACGGAGGTCGATGGAAAAGACATCGAAAGAGCGTTTTGCGAGGAATTCTGAAAAGGAAGGCCCTGTTTTCCCTGGAAGGAGCGAAGAGGGTCACTGTTAGACCGAACTCTCTGCAGATGTGCCACCAGCAGGGACCATCGATGTGATGCATGCATGTTGGCATTAGCCATTAGCCTTCGCTAATAGAACAGTCACTATAGAACCTCCAACAGTTTCATACAGTTGCAAAGAATTGGCATCGCTAATGCTGTGTTCGAATACGTACCCAAACCACCACCGAGATGAAACATGTGTCTATTGGAAGCAAACCCTGGAATCAACAGGACAGCGCCTCGCGAGCCCTTTCCGTCCATCAAGACGCTCTGGAGACATCGTCTGTCCATAGGAAGATGACCAGAGCCATCCGAAAGCGGAACAGAGTACTCTGTGTAGAGCAGATGAAATGTCTTGCAAAGGGATAAGCGGGACTTGTGGGGAGAACGCGAGCGATGGATGAGAGACGAGGGATCTGTACCCTCCATTGCAAGATGATAATAGGTAAAAGAAGAAGAAAATAGACGGGAAAACGACGACGACAGTTTAAATACACGCGTGATCCCAATATAAAGGAGAACAAGAGTGATATCACTCAGCGAGACAAGACACATCATGTGATGGAACGAACACTTGTGCTCATTTCAATATGCATGTCAACACATGTTTATGGCATGCTACGAGCGATGCGCATATTATCATGCAATGACGTATGTTAACGGCGACGACGACGACGACAAGAGCCGTAAAGTGTGCCAAAAAGTTCAAAGGTGATGATTGTTTAACACTTAAGTCGCGTGTCCAAAGGTCGCGTGTCGTGTCTCCCCTTCCTGCATGCTGCGCTTTACCGATGAGCCCAACTTCCGCAGAGAAAGTAAATGTAAACAATGACTATCCAAAATCCTCGAATCTCCCCCAAAAGACGCTGGTAAATGCCTCCACTGAAAGCTACCTAATGAATATCCCTGACCCCCATCGATGATCCACAATACGTAACCCATGCAACTTCATACAGTCATAAATCATGCTATTTACCTTTACGCTAGGATAATGTCAATGGTTAATATTCGACGTCATTCTTGCGGTTTTAACCTCGCTGTAATAGAGTTATTCGCAACTGCCTTTTGAAAACGTTGGATACTCAGATCGACGGGCACCGTGAACCGGCGCAGTTAGTGCAAGTTACTTCAATTTGAGACCCTAGTAGGAACGCAAGCCAAGAAGCTAAGGGATAAGATTATTCACAATGTAGCCATTTATTTCCAACCATTTACGATACCTTTACATGTTATGAATGCGCCCAAAAAAGGTATCGCAGCCTTAATCGGAACTTACATCTGGGGCCTGTGAAGGTTCGCCAGACTACCATGCAAGTGCACAATCCACTGCTGGTAGTATAAGTATAGGTTCAAAAATAAGATAAATGGGTAAAGCAAGCGTCCGCTATCGTCGTATTTGTCACTGTCATCTCGGCACTACCATTCATTATTTATACCAAAGTACATAAATGTGACGACAAGGAAGAAAAAAAACAAGAGTTCAACGGGCTGGGCGTTGGAGGTTTGGGGACATGACTCATACGAGCTGGATGGTCAAACGCGCGTTTTGCTGGCCTTTGGGGGCTCGTAGTTCAACCACAAAAAGCGCAACTAGATACTGGCAATTTAGAGGGCGTGCACTGCGAGCTGGCTCAAAAAGTTAGTGAAATGGGGAGATATTCGTAGATCGAACGCTCGTTTGTACATATCCTGGCACTCTTCACCTGCATATTACCCTCGTTGCCATCATGTCCTTACCATTCACAACCACCCGAATGGGATCCATACCATTATCCCCAACGCACACCACAAGTCCCTCCGCACACTACGCAACCCTCTCTGTCTCAGAAACGCTTCAATCTCTCGGCACGCACCTGGAGACAGGTCTGTCATCGTCGGAGGCATCCTACCAGCGGTCTCGCGTCGGTGCCAATGACCTGACTGTGGAAGAGAGTGAGGGACTTGCGAGCAAGTTTATCGAGCAGTTTAAGAATCCATTGATTTGTCTGTTGCTGGGATCTGCTGGGGTCTCGGTATTGGTTGGGGAGATTGATGATGCTGTGAGCATAACGCTGGCGATTATTATCGTCGTGGCAGGTGAGTTGAACCGAGCAATGAAGAGACGGAGCACAGTACTCGGCGGACTGAGTGGGAATGGCCATGCACAACGTGCGCAGAGTGCGAGGGTCATTGCGCCCCGGATGAGTCAAAGTGTCTGATACATGATTGCTAACACCTCTCAACACAGTGGCATTTGTACAGGAATACCGCTCAGAAAAATCCCTTCAAGCACTCAACAAACTTGTTCCCCATTATTGCCATGTAATCAGGTACCGTACTCCACTCTCGTCACATACTGTTCTGTCGCGGTCCCGCAATCTCATGGGTAGCACGTCCCTTTCAGAGACAGTCAACTCGTCACCCTTCTCGCCAGCGAGCTTGTTCCCGGCGACATTATCAAATTCTCCACGGGAGACCGTATCCCCGCCGACAGTCGTCTCGCCACAGCGCACGACCTTCAAATTGACGAGTCGAGTTTGACGGGGGAGAATGAACCCTGTCGGAAGCATACGGATGTGATCGAGGGGAGGAGTGAGGATTTGCCTTTGGCCGAAAGGAGGAATGTGGCATTCATGGGGACGTTGGTGAGGAATGGTCACGGATTGGGCATTGTAGTTGGGACAGGGAAACACACAGAGTTCGGGATGGTTTTTACGATGATGAAGGAGGTGCGGTATCCTTTTTTCTTGGGAAATGGACTGTATCGACTTATGCACTTTAAAGGTCGAAGTCCGCAAGACACCGCTTCAACTCAAAATGGATCACCTGGGAAAACAACTCTCTGCCTTTTCTTTTATTATTATCGGCATAATTACCTTAATTGGGATCCTCCAGGGGCGGCATTGGTTGGAGATGTTTACGATCGGAGGTACGCGGACGTGTATCTTCTCCAAACACTCACCAGTGATGTGTCTAAAATAATGTGTTCCAGTTAGTCTGGCTGTAGCGGCTATACCAGAGGGACTGCCGATTGTGGTAACCGTTACATTGGCGCTCGGGGTCCTGCGCATGGCAGGACGACATGCCATTGTCAAAAAGTTGCCGGCAGTAGAGGCTTTGGGTTCTGTGAATGTGATTTGCGCGGACAAGACGGGTGGGGTTTTTTGTAGTGTAACCGGTTTGCGTATGAATGTTGTTGATCATCTTATGCAAAACAGGTACACTGACCATGAACAAAATGACTATTACAAAATTGTACACGCTTGCGCAGCAAACTATCATTGACATTGATGACCCCGCCAATGCTTCCATGCTGAGCCTTCCCGCTCCGACGATGCTCTTCCGAATAGGTAAGATTTTCTTTCTCCACTACGCTGTGCTCTATGCTGCAAAATAGATATTCACGTCTTCAAATGATAGGCATGTTGTGCAATAACGCCCACATGGAGGAAGGACAGGCTGTAGGGCAACCGACAGAGATTGCGTTTTTAGAGGCGGCAGGCAGGATGGGTGTGACTGATGAGCGGAAGGTATGTCGGCAAACTGCTAGCGCTCCTATATGTCTTCCTAACAGTCCTGATGAGAGCAGGCTCACGTCAAAATCTCTGAAACACCCTTTAACGCCGAGCGCAAATGGATGGCCATTGAATCCCGCCCGGTCCATTCCACATCTTCACTGCTCTATGTCAAAGGCGCTATGGAGCCTATTCTCGAGCAATGCAAGCGGTACTATGTAGGGCCCAACGACGAACGCCCTTTGGATGCGGGTGCACGGAATCTGATTGAAGCTGTTGCGAAGGGTGTCGCGAATGCGGGGTTGAGGCTATTGTTTCTGGCTGTGGGACCGAGCTTGGGGGATTTGTGTCTGGTGGGCTTTGTGGCCATGTATGATCCTCCGAGACCTGGTGTACCGGCGGCGATTGATACTTTGGTGAGAGGCGGCGTCAAGATTGTGATGATCACGGGAGATTCAGGTACGAGGCTCCTTCTCTCATCCACTCCAATAATGTCAAAATTAAAATGGTGGTTGCAGAGGGTACGGCATCTTCCATTGCCTCTCACCTTGGCATCCACGTCCCGCCTCGTGGTCTTATGTCCGGGCCGGACCTCGACGCCCTCTCCGAAAGGGAATTAGATGAACAGGTAGAGCGTGTTACCGTGTTTTATCGGACTACGCCGAGGCACAAGATGGTGATTGTGAGGGCCCTACAAGCCAAGGGACTTGTTGTGGCCATGACTGGAGATGGAGGTTCGTTCAACTGTGGCCCTTTCCTTTCAATGTATCGTGTCTGATCCGTTTGCAATTGCAGTAAATGATGCGCCTGCCCTACGATTATCGGTATGTTGTGATCTTGCGATGAAAGATGTGAAGTATTCTTCTAATGACGTTTCTGGCGTGACAGGATATCGGTATATCTATGGGAAAGAGTGGAACGGACGTGGCAAAGGAGGCTGCAGATATGATTCTTGTTAATGATGATTTCGGTGAGGACGGATTTATTAGTTTGGTTGTCTGTGCTTGGGAGTACTAACATTTTTGGACGTTTACCAGCGACGGTCTTGTATGCCATCGAGGAAGGTGTGTATCCAGCTCTGATCTATTTCGGGAATCTAGTATTAACAAGGGGACATACCAGGCAAATCCATCTTTTACAACATTCAAAACTTTCTGCGCTTCCAGCTGTCCACCAGCATCGCCGCCTTGACACTGATTGCCGTCGCAACTTTCTTAGGGCTCCCCAACCCCCTCAATGCCATGCAAATCCTCTGGATCAGTAGGTGACCCGTTCTTCTCTCTTTCCCTCCTTCTTCTTACTTATACACTCCAGATATTATATGCGACGGACCCGTAGCGCAGTCCCTCGGCGTCGAATCCGTCGATCCAGATGTGATGAAACGACCCCCGCGGGACAAGAATGAGCCAATTATCACGAGGGCTTTTGTGAGCCGGGTACTTATGTCCGCCTTTGTGGTGGTTGTTGGTACCATAGGGATTTATTCTTTGGAGTTGGGGAGAGGGTTTGTGGATGAGGATGAGGCTGGGCGGAGAGGGTCCACAATGGTATTTTTTCGATTGATGCTTGTGGTTGGGGGACACGAGTGCTAATCTTCATCATACTAGACATTTACTGTCTTTGTCTTCTTTTCTCTCTTCAACGCCGTCACCTGCCGTTCCCAGACCCGTTCCATCCTCTTCTCTCTTGGACTCTTCACCAACCGCATGTTTAATTTCGCTGCCCTCGCCTGCATCCTCTTTCAACTCGCGGTCGTGCACTGGAGTGTACTTCAAGCGATATTTCAGACAGTAGATTTGACGTTTGGTGACTGGATTGTAGTGTTGGGTGTTGGGTCTTTGGTAGTGGGCGTGGATGAGGTTATAAAGAGATGGAAGGGACGATGGGAACGGGTTAGGGAGGGTATCAAAGGGGAAGAAAGTGTGTGATGGTTTTTTGGATTTTTTATATTATTACTAATTGCTGCGTTTATACGCCTCTTTCGAAGATTTGACATGCGTCCATGAAGGCTTGATGGAAGGTGCTCGCCAGATAATAGAATGGGGCCTCCACGTCTGTATTTGTTGCCTGAAAGTGCTCTTAGCTTTGTCTGCTCATATTTCGGTCCAATACGGCCCACTTACTGCAGAACACTCAAAGTACCCCAGCCCAAACCTCGAGGCCAACTCCTCCCCTTGCGCCGTGCTTACGACCCGACGAGAAGTTTGATCCGTTTTATTTGCAACGAGCACACCTACTAGAATCAGTTTTTCGTTCATCAATTCATGTAAGCTATACCGGCACTCACCTTGCGCTCCTCTTGATACTATTTCCATCCACTTCCCCACATCCTTGAAACTGTCTGCGTTTGTCACATCATATACGATCATATATGACGTGGCACCTTCGGTCTAGAACAACATTGAGAACCGATTCATTTCATATTGCATCAAGTTCGTACGTACGTATTTGACCCAATCTTGTGCAAACAGATCTGAGCATCCTATATCGTGAATGTAAAGATCGACGGTAAATTGTGTATCGGGGATGGTGATAGGTTTGAGGCTTGTGTCGCAGTGGAGAGTCTGTGCCTAAAGTTGGTACTTATCGGAAACGCATTCGAGGAAAGGAAACTTACCATGGCGTATGTTTTAGCGTACTGGGTTCCATCGCTGTGGAAGAGTTGTGTCAGAGCGGTCTTGCCCGTTGTGGGTGAGCCTGTTTGCAAATAATATTTAACAAATTCGTGCCTGGAAGACGAGACGCTAAGAACGCACCTAGTACGACGCACTTGTTTCTCAAAATGATTTTTCCAAAAGTCATGCCTGCGAATGCCCTTCTCCTTCCATCGGTCGTGGTGGAAAAAGACCATCGCGGGGACGCGTCCGCTTACGCAATCTTACACGTGACTTCACCAATAAGGTTAGAGGCGGAAACTTCGGTTGTTTTTGAGCGCAGCAAACGCTTGCTGGTGTTTGTCGACGTGGCAAACACGCATCGGGGCAGTTTTTGATTTTTTGATTTCATTTTGCGGTAATCGCGTACCTACCCAGACCATGCGCGCCCTCCAATTCACGACACTCCTCACCCTCCTCGCATCCGCGTCGGCATTCTATCTCCCAGGAGTAGCACCCAAAGACTACCGCAAGGAAGCGCCAGTGGAATTGGCTGTGAACGTCCTTACCTCTGCCGACACACTCCTGCCGTACGACTATTATTATGAGAAATTTCATCATGTAAAGCCAGAGACCGAGGAGAATAAGCGGGAGAGTTTGGGGAGTATATTGTTTGGGGATCGGTTGCATAACTCTGCGTTCAAGGTGTGTGACGGTAAATGGTAAAGAGTAGAAAGGCTATTGATCTCGTCTTTTTCTTCATAGTTGAAAATGTTGATCAATGAGACATGTCAACTGTTGGGTGAAGTGACCGTCCCGGCCGCTGATGCAAAGTTTATTAACCTCAGGTACTTGGAACTTTCTGATTTGTTTACTATGCATCTCATCTAATACGCCGCGCCCTGTAGAATAAAAGAACAGTACCAGCACAACTGGTACGTGGACGGTCTCCCCGCTGCATCTCTTGTCACATACTCCGACGACGACTCGGACGAAGACAAGTACTACAGCATTGGGTTTGATATGGGGCAATACGACCATGATGCGGTAGGTTTCACTGTAACAAGACGAAACCTACGCAGTTTTAATAATTCGGTTGTGCAGGCAAACCCCACAATGTACTTGAACAATCATTATGACATCCATATCAGATATCATTCGGATGAAAAGAATGACTTGTATCGAGTTGTTGGGATTCTTGTGTGGCCTTACAGGTAGTTTCCTTTGTTATGTGCCCCTGGTTACGGGAGCTAATGTTTTATTAGTGTCAAGAGCTGGCCTGATAAGAGCGATTGTATACCTGACCCAAAGCAAATTCCAACGATGCAGTTGAGCGAGACGGCGGAGACAAAGGTTCGGTACACGTATAATGTGTTTTGGGAGGTAGGTTTTGTATATTAGCTGGATGCACTTTACAGACGCCAGTTCTGAGTTTTCTAAATTGTAGTGGTCGTCTGTATCATGGGGCACGCGGTGGGACCACTACCTGTACACCCTCGACCCTCAGATTCACTGGTTCAGGTAAACGCCAGCTTGCTCACATTAGCACCATTCCCATGCTAACACACTCCCCAGCATCGTCAACTCGATCGTCATTGTATTTATGCTCACGGGGATGATTGGTATGATCCTCCTCCGGGCGCTCCACAAGGATATTGCGCGGTACAACACGTTTGGAGACGAAGATGGGGGCCAGGAAGACTTTGGATGGAAGCTTGTCCATGCAGATGTGTTTAGGCCTCCTACCCACCGTATGCTCTTGTCGGTTTTGTTGGGTAATGGAGCACAATTGCTCTGTATGACCGGAATTACCCTTGGTATGAGTCTGTTTTATCTTTGAGATTGACTCTTAGTTACGACACGAAACTAACCTAAACCTCTATTTTTATAGTATTCGCCGTTCTTGGTTTCTTGTCACCTTCTTCTCGCGGATCCTTGTCGACCGTAGCCCTCATCTTTTATGTCTGCTTTGCTTCCGTGGCTGGATACGTTTCTGCGAGGGTGTACAAGATGCTTCAAGGAGAGTACTGGAGGCGAAATGTCGTCATGACAGCTACTCTTGTTCCAGGGTACGTTTATCTTCGCTTCCGGACAATTCGCAATCTGACACATTTGATTTAGGGTGGTTTTTTTGATTTCATC